AGATAAAGTAATGATGGAGCACAAAGCTATTGGGGTAGAGAAGATCATCCAGGGACTTTTTTTTTTGGGTCCGGTCGTGGGGCCTGAACTCTGGGCCTAGGCACTGCCCTTCAGCTCTTCAGCTCAAGGCTAGAGCTTTACCACTTGAGTCACAGCCCCACTTCCGGGTTTTTTCTTTTTGCTTATGTGGTGCTGAGGAATCGAACTCAGGGCCTCAGGCATGCAAGGCAAGCACTCTACCACTGAGCCAACTTCCCAGCCCCATCCAGGGACTTTTTGCAGAGTGAGAAAGGAAACTAAAATTAAGCCTTGAGGAATCATAACATTTAAAAGACGAGAAGAATAAACAACCCTGACCTAAGCGTGATGACTCATGCCTATTATCCTCACTACTCAGGAGGTTGAGATAATGAGAACTGTAGTTTGAGGCCAGCCTGGCTAGAAAAATTCACAAGTTCCCCTTTTAACCAATACTGGGGGAGTAGTATATACATGTCATCTAGCTACAAAGAGAAGCTTAGTATATACATGTCATCTAGCTACAAGCTGGTAATAAATGGATTCTTCCAGGTGTCCAGGCAAGAAGTGAGTCCCTATCAGAAACGATTAATGCAAAAAGGGAGGTGGGAGTATCTAGAGACATGGCTTAGGAGTAGAATGCTTACCTAGCAAGCAGAGGCTGTGAATTAGAACTCTAGAACTATTAAGTATTAAAATAAAAACCTGAAAAGGAAACCGAAAAGGACTACTTTAATGATACAGGGTAAATCAGGAGTGTGGAATCTAAGAGGATACAGTTTTAAAATGAGGATTACTCAGCACTCCTAATTAATTTCTAGAAGGTTAAAAGTAGTGACATAAAGTTGACTATGAATGTAATTGCAGTCAGTTTTAGGAGAGAGGTGAAGACAGAAAGACAAGAGTGTAAAATGAAGACTTGAATGTGGTCTGTTTTCAAGAAGCTTAGGTTGTGAAAGTGAAGGAGGATTGGGGGTGATAGCTGAAACAATACTGGGGTCAAGGGGAGTGGGGTGCATGTACACCTGTGTGCTGTGTTTCTTAGAAGAAGAAACATAAGCCGGGCGCTGGTGGCTCACGCCTGTAATCCTAGCTACTCAGGAGGCTGAGATCTGAGGATCGCGGTTCAAAGCCAGCCCGGGCAGGAGAGACCGTGAGACTCCTATTTCCAATAAACCACCAGAAAACTGGAAGTGGCGCTGTAGCTCAAGTGGTAGAGCGCTCGCCTTGAGCTGAAGAGCTGAGGGACAGCGCCCAGGCCCAGAGTTCAAGCCCCATGACCGACAAAAAAAAAAAAAAGAATGATAAGAAGAAGAAACATAAAAGGGAAAGAGTAGAAATACTCATCATAGGAAGGTATCTGAAAAATGATACGGATTTCATAGCAGACAAGTTGGAGGAAAAGCATGCCTGTGAGTAAGAGTGAATGGAAGAAGTCAAGTAATAGTTTTATATGTTTGGATTTCAGTTTGGTGATGGATATTTCAGGGAATGTTCATATGATAGCTTTACGTATGAGACATGATTAACTGCTAAGAGTAGGTCAGACATTTAAGAAAGGCAGAAGTTTGTAATATTGATATTGATCACTAGGAATTAAGTAGAATTGAGAAAAGCTAAGGGTTCAATTGAACTGTTTTTGTTTCAGCAGTCCAATGTTTATAATCTTTCCAATGAATTTATTGTCCCAACTGGCACACATTTGAGAGAGCATTGACACACTCTTAATAGTTATATAGACATGAATATGAGACTATCCCCTAAACCAAGAAATGTGTGATCACTTACCAAATTCTTTTTTGCTTTTAATCTGTTTGATACTTTTCCCTTTTTCTTTTCTAATTAGCATTCACCAGTAGTATAAGGGTTTTCATTGTGACAGTTCTATAGATGTGTACAGTGTTCTTTGAACAAGCCCACCCCCTCTATTATATCTCCTTTCTTTGTTTCTCCCTTTTGCAAACAATATTTGATGAGTTTTATTATTCTATCTCAATCCTCTTTTTAAAGTGATTTAAATAATAATAAGAAAAATATTTCCAAGTCTCATTATCTGGCTTAAAATTTTGTTTTAGCATATCTTGCATATGAGATGCTGGCAATGAATTCTTTTAGCTTTCATAAATTTGAAAAGTATTTTTTTTCCTTACTGACATTGTTTCCAAGACATATCTGCCTTTGTCTTTTTCTTTGTTCCTGTGTATGTAATGTGACTTTTTCACTATTAGTTCTAAACAATTTTATTTTGTTATGTCTTAGTGTACTTGCTTCTCTCTACAATGGTTTTTAGATTTGGGTTTGTTGAGTTTCTTGAATCTATGGGTTTAAAGTTTTTATGACATTTGGAACTTTGTAGCCATTATTTCTTCAAATATTGTTTTTGGTCCTCCTCTCTGGTGTCATGATCAGAACCCCCAGCAGTAGCAGGAGCAGTCATAAAGTTCATCATTTTACTTCCCTTCTGTCAGTGATTATTGAAATACTTGGTGTTTTAAACCCCACTGTTAAATCTATTTATTTTATATTTATTTCAGGTAGATGAGAAAATTAGTTCCTATTGATCCAACATGTCTATTGAAAGTTAGATACTTTCAATAATTGAAGAAGTTAGAAAATTTAAGCTAGTATAGACTTTAAAACACTCACTTTTATATAATGTTATTTTTGAACTTGATAAGGTAAGAAGGAATCTGATAGTTGATCACCATTAAGTAATCATGGAAAAAACTGTGAGCTTGTCCTAGGTATAGAAGTATTAGAACAATTTATCTTCATATTAATTTGTTCTTTTATTAAGGAAGAGTCTACATTCAGTAAAATTGAACACCTGGAGTGCTTTTGAACATATTCAGTGTTATAACTACTATTCTTTGTAGGCACCCCCTTCTTTTACAAACTTTATTGATAACCACTAAAATACTAAAGTATTTTCCATATTTATAGTCTTACCTTTTCCAGAAAGCCATGTAAATTACAGAAGATAGGTTTTCCCTGTGGCTTATGACACTTCACATAATATGTTTGAGATCCATTTTTGTTGGTATGTAGTTCATTCCTTGTTCTTGTTGAGTAATAGTCTATTAAATTAATGTATCATACTTTGGCAGTATCACTAGATTCTAAAGTAGATAGTGGCAGTTGAATGTATCTGAATACAACATTGAAAGGATTTAGGCTCATTTTGATGGGAGATTAAATGCTCTTACAATTTATTTCCATATCTGGAAATTTTAAAGTCTTGAAATGCTAGTATAAATATTCTTGGTTGGCAAGTACAGATTTACTTAATTGACTGAGGAGATATAGCCAACATATTTTGTTTTAAACACAGTTCTGAATTAATTTGACTTAGTGGAAATATGATGTTTGTTTTTTCATTGCTATGACAAAATACTCAAGCAAAACTACTTAAAGGAAATAAGATTTATAGCCACTTGGTTCCATCACTGTGAGCCAGTGGAGAGGAAGAGAAGGCATAATTGAGCAGAGCTTCTCACTTCATGGCAACCAGGAAGCAGAGGAGTATGGAAGGAGGGAAGACAGATGCCTGCACTGGAGGGCTATCTCTCCTTTCCCCTTTTATTCCATCTTGGCTGCTACCCTTTGGAGTAGTGCTGCTATTTGAGGTGGGTGGGTCTTTAGCTAATCCTCTCTGGAGATGATCTTAGACACACTGAGAGGTATGCTTTACTAATCTCTTAGCTACTTCTCAGTACAGATCAAATTGAGAGGATAAACTATCACACCAGATGTATTATTTTTTTCTTAGTATTGGGGCATTGTTTTTGTCTTTTTTTTTAAAAAGAGATTACCTTAGAATAGCCAGGCATTCCTGGTTCACATGTGTTATCATAACTTCCCAGGAGGCTGATATCTAGAGGATTACAATTCAAAGCCAGCCTAAGCAAAAAAAACAAAACAAAACAAAAAAACAAAAATTCCCACAAGACTCTCCAAGATAACTAGCAAAAAGCTAAGGTGGAACTGTAGCTTACGTGGTAAAATGCCTGCTGAGAAAGCAAGCACAGTAAACTCAAAGTCCTGAGTTCAAACTTTGGTATTTCCCCCTCCACAAAAAAAGTAGAAGTTAATTTAATTTGTCTCATTTTTTTTATTCTCATATCTAGTCTACTGCTATTTCTTTGGTATATAACAGAATTTGGCCAACTTATTTCAGGAGAAGAATAAATAGGCAAGATCTAATTCTTACTTTAATCACATATTTCTTTTTTTCCCCTATCATTTTAATGATGGCATGTGGAGGAAAATGTTGGCTCAAGAATGAAGCAGGCAGGATTTTAACACTTAGAGCTGTATTTCTAGGAAGCCTCAAAATTATTCTCTAAACTCTGCTTTCTCATTTTTAAAATGGAGATTGAACACTTACCTTCAGAGGTACTGAGAATTAAAGGGATTTTATGCATACATGTGCACACGAATAGTATATACATACACACACACATATGAGAGAAGGTTTTTTTTTGCCAGTATTGAATTTAAACTCAGTATGCTCATACTCAACCACTTGAGCCACACCTCCATTTATTTCTATGTTTGCTGGTTATTTTCATAATAGGGTCTCGTGGATGCTTCTGCCCAGAGTGGCCTCGAACAACAATTCTTCTATTCTTAGCATCTAGAATAGTTAGGATTACAAATGTGTCTCACTGGCACCTAGACACTGCATACATTTTTAGTACATTGTTGGGAACATAGTAAGCAGGTAGTAAATGATTAATTTCAAATATCACTACTTGTATCTCTATTTGTATAAGACTCTATAAAGATCAAGAGTTTCTCATACTGTAACCAAGGGCTGATTAAAAGTGTAATTGTTTCACATTGTTAAGGTTGAGCCATCATTGCCCCCCCAGAGTAATATAGTCTTAACCTCATAAATGATTATTGGACATTTTTTATGGTTTGAGAGGCCTTTAAATATGTAAAACAAGTTAGCTTTATTATGATTCAATGTTTTCCAGATGAAGGTAATGAAACTGAATTGCAGCCACAACCAAACAGTCAGTTAATGTGGAAACAAGGACGACAACTACTTAGACAGTAAGTATCCCAAGGTTATACTTACAAAGAGTAGAAGGTACTGTCATGTTTTCAACTCAATAGAATAAGCTTTTCTCAAACTACTGATGGAAAGAAGTTTAAGGTAGATTATTTATTTTTCATTTAAAATACTTTCCCTCTAGAGAATTTATGTAATTAAAATAATTTACTGTATTTTTTATTGTAAGGAAAATGTTGAGAGGGGTTACTTATATAACTCAGGTGTTGAACTTTTCTTCTTGAACAGTATTACCTCTTCCCTCGTTTTCTGCCAGTTTTTCCCTCCCAACCCCCTCTCCCACAAATTAGTTCATTTTCAACATATTGTCTATTGAGTATCACTGGCTGATTTAATTTACCCTTTGTCCCACCATTTCTGTGCTTCCCTTTCCCATCCCCATTAAAAGAATTTTATATCTGTAAAGTTTTTCTTCAATTTATATCAACTCCATAAGAATATGTGTATGCCTTAATATAAGTCCAGTGGCTATTTGCAATCAGTAATTTTGCAAGCAGTATTATTAATCAGTAATTTTTTAAGTTTTTTGTTTTAAATCAATTGAAGAACTTGAATTCCCCAAATTTTCCCAATATTGCCTATTTTCTCCTATAAAATGTATTATCTGACCCTAAACAGAGGAAACAAAGCTCTATTGAGGTTCTGATGTCAAATGGTGCAATAGATCCACTCATCAATAGAGCCTGGTCTTGTATACTATTTTTGTAACTAGTATTCAAATTTATGCCAAAGTAATATTAAATCTACATATTTTGGATTTCTGAGTTTTCTTATGACTAGTTTAGATTAAGGTTTCAAAGTGAAAGATTGTTAAATGTTTCAATTGACTATAAGAAACTCTCCTATCTGTTCTTTTATTTAGACAAAGTTGAATAAAAAGTGAATAATAACAATTATGTGGATTGAGTAGATTTTCATTAACATTCATTTTGATCCTATGAGTTACATGAACTTTTTTTTAACCTTCTTTACCAATACTAACATATATATGTTAGGCAAGTGCTGTTAACCATGGAGCAACAGCCAACACTCTTTTACTCCTTTTTATTCATTTTTTATTTCGAGACAGGGATCTCATTAAGTTAGTTGCACATTAAGTTAGGCTGATTTTGAACTTTTTATCTTTCTGTCTCAGCTTTCCAAGTAGATGTGATCATAGGTAGTATATTTCACCATGCCTTTGCTTTTTCTTGTCTTAAATAGGTAAGCGTATGTGAAATGCTGATTTCTTCTTTTTTTTCTAAATGAGAAGTAGTTTCATAATGAGATATTTAACAGATATTTCAGAAAATTGAAAGACATAACCTGCTTCTCAAAGAATTGATGAAGTAATTGTTTAGTAAAAGCACCTTTAGTAAAAGCAGTTTTGAAAAGGTATTTGTAGTGGTCATGTTGCCAAAGGGAGGTGCATATCAAATATTGCTAAAAATAGAAAAACAAGCTAACGCCTGTGATCTTAGATGTAACTTAGGAGGCTGGGATCTGAGGATCTGGGTTTGAATCCAGTGTAGGCAGGAAAGTCCATGAGATTTATCTCCAATTAGCCAGCAGAAAACTGGACGTAGAGCTTGGCTCAAATGATAGACCACTAGCCTTGAGCACAAAAGCAGAGTTAAATTCAAGTTCCAGGTCCAGGACAACAAATTAAAAAAATAGAAAAACAAATATATAAGAACAACTCATTAAGTTCAGGAAAGTTAGAAACATGATTTATGATTTCAAATTTTGATTCAGACTTTTGTGTAGATATTGGGTGAGGCTTAAAAGTGAGCATCTTGCCTAAATAAACAAAAACACTGTTCTCAACCATTGCTTTCTTCTCTCATCAAGTAGACATCACTGCATAAGTCAGTGCTAGCTGGGCGCTGGTGGCTCATGCCTGTAATCCTAGCTACACAGGAGGCTGAGATCTGAGGATCACAGTTCAAAGCCAGCCTGGGCAGGAAAGTCTGTGAGACTCTTATCTCCAACAAACCATTAGAAAACCGAAAGTGACGCTGTAGCTCAAGCGGTAGAGCGCTTGCCTTGAGCTGAAGTGCTCAGGGACAGCAGCACCCAAGCCCAGAGTTCAAGCCCCATGACCGACCAAAAAAAAAAAAAAAGTCAGTGCTTAACATTTCATATCATGTTTGTTAATAGCATTTATCTCTTTTATGATCCTCAAACTGCAGCTTTTGGTGGTTTAATGGTTTAACAATGAATCCAAGTATCAATTCAAAATGTTTTTATGTGGATTCTCAACATTTTTGATGTAAACTTACTGTTTATTTTGCATAAATTCTTTACTAAGCATTCAAGACACTTTTGTTATATGAAACACAAGGATAATAGTCAGCCTTAAAAGAGAGTCTTGTTATCTACATACAATTAGAAGTCAGGACAAAGAAAAATACCCAAGTGTTATTAAATATTAAGTGAAGAATTCTTGGTTTTAAAATCTAAAGTACCATGACTGAAATGCAATAGTAATGATAAAAATGCAAAAGTAATAATAGTAACAAGGACAAATTCAATTTTATAGCTGAGAGTTTTATGTATTCTTGAAGAAAAATACAAAGTCAGAAAGATAAGAAATGATGGTAACAAGTCTTAAATTATTGAATGCACAGTAGTTTTAAATAGGTCTTTATAACTTCATCATTAAATTGAACCTTTAGATTACATGTTCCTAACATTGTAGTTTCATGTCTACTCCATCTTCGTGATGTGTGTTGCCAGCAGTGGTTGTAATGTGGAAAAGCCACAACTAGATTTTATATGTAAAATATTCATTATATATATATATATATTTTTTTGGGTCTGGTGGTGGGGCCTGAACTCTGGGCCTGGGCGCTGTCCCTCAGCTCTTCAGCTCAAGGCTAGCGCTCTACCACTTGAGCCACAGCGCCACTTCCGGCTCTTTTCTTTTTGCTTATGTGGTGCTGAGGAATCGAACCCAGGGCCTCTGGCATGCAAGGCAAGCGCTCTACCACTGAGCTACCTTCCTAGCCCCTCATTATATGTTTACAGATGAAAAAAGTTGTATTATCCCTAGCTAATTGTACAAAAAGGTTCCAGCTCAACACGTTATTTTATGAGTTATTTTATCAGTGCATCTTGATCAGTGTCACCTATTTCATAATCCTCCCATCTCTCCCAACCCCACCCATCCCCTCAATTTTCCTTTTGGTCTTTTTTGGTGTTGATAGGTATTGGGTGTTTTATATATGCCCAGGACAGTATTAGGGATAGCTTTCCAGGGAAGGAAAACTGACATTTAGGAGAATTAAGCTATGCAACAAGTAGGTGGCAGAAATAGGCTTATGAACTAGAAGTAATGCTTAATACAAATGAGCCTGTGCTCATTTGTCTGTATTATTATCTTCCTGATACAAAGTCATACATGTGTACACATACCTTACATCCTACAGTTTAATTGTGGTCTTTTTATTTTAAAGTTGCCTCCAGATAGAAGGTTTTTCTACTGAGGTGACTCTTGGGAAATCTGTATCTTTCCTATACATGATAGAGGAAGGCGTATGTATAAAAAAAAACATTTTCTGTAGATCTTAAACTATCCTTAACTCTTTGCATTAGAAATGTAAAAAAAATCTACTAGAATCATTATTATAAAATAGAAATTTGCTAGAGTTTGAGGGTGAGATTGCCTCTATCCTGCCTAAAGAAAAGAATGTGCCATGAAATATATTAAAGAATACATTCTTCTTAGGATAAATGTAATGAATGGTGTATTGTATAGTTCTTTGATTTTTTCTCAGTGACTGTAGAGGCTGGTACTGCAAGAGACAGCTCCATCTGCAGCTGGAAGATTATTAACAAATCTTACTAGCATAGTACTGTACTGTTGAGTCTTATATAGGCATTGAATTTGAAGAAATACTTTTGTTTACATATTGAATTTTAGAATAGTGGTAACTGTGTGACTAATTTGTAAGGATCTTCTTCACACAGGTATCTCCAGGAGGTGGGATACACAGATACTATTCTAGATGTGAAATCTAAACGAGTGCGAGCTTTGTTGGGCTTTTCAAGTGATGTCACTGACAGAGAAGATGACAAAAATCCGGACTCAGTTATAAATGGCACAGAAGCTGAAGGTAAAGAGACAGCAATGATTGGGTAAGTAGTTTGTCTGGTAAATATTTCAGTTATGAATTTAGTTCTTGTTAAATAATTTTGGTTTGAGTGATATTATACTTTAAGGTAGTGATTTAGAAATAAGTATAGTCAATTAAGTGTCATAATTTTAAGTTTTACTAAACCAAACACAGGGATTGAAGTTATTGCTTATGATTATTTAAAGTAGAGAATATTTGAAATCTTCTTTATTAGGATTTTATTCAACATAAATTTTAATATCTTGAAGCCACATACTGTTAAAATCTCAAAGATTTTACCTAATGAAATTCAGTACAAATCTCTTGGAATGAAATTTTATTATTAGTGAATCTGAAATAAAATTAAAATCATAGAATTTCAAAAAATTTAAGAAGTAAATTTTTTTGACCACTCTTGTTTATGTCAAAATTATATAACTCATCTGACTTTGATACATTGTATCTATTTTAAGTATATATATTTCAATAGGTTAAGCATGAAAAACTGAATTAGCTGTTTGAAATATTTTCTTTTTCTTTTTTTTCTTTTTTGGGAGGGGTTTGTAATTTTTTTTAATTGTGAAAATACCGTATTTTATTTTTCTTTTACCATATATCATGCAATTATAAATAATTCTACTTAAATGCATATTAACAGTTTAGTTAAAAAAAACTTCTTACCAGAAAAAAACTGCATAATTCAAATCAGTAATTTAATAAAAAGTCAATAATTCTGACAAGTCTAACTATGATGTTACTTTGTTTTGACCCATGTTAAGGCTGGAAAAATGGTTTTAACTAAACTGTAAATTTTCTAGTGAGACTGTAGTTCCTGTTATTTGGAAAATAAATTAAAACTATATGATTAGGTAAAGGTACAAAATAAGAATTGTATAAGCAAGTGTCATTGGAACTTTTGTAAAATTACTAATAATTAAGAATGCATTTACTTGTATTTATAAATGCAAAGTGTAGATTATTCCTCTTTGTAGTTATATACCCGCTATTTCTGCTTGCATTTTTGTCTTATGGCTTAAGTTAATTTAGATAATACAGATATAATTTTTTATATTTATTATTTTTGTGCTGGTTCTGGAGCTTGAATTTAGGTCTCTGAGCTTTTTTGCTCAAGCTAGTGCTCTGTCACTTGTGCCACACTTTCATTTCCAGCTTTTATGGGAGATGGTGCTTAGTTGGAGATAAGAATCTCCTGGACTTTCCTGCTCACCTCTCAGATCTCAGCCTCCCGAGTAGCTAGGATTACAGGTGTGACCCACCAGCATCCAGCTTAATATAGATATTTTAAAGAACTATAACGCAGTAACAGTTTACAGAAAATACTACTTTGTTGTGTGTTGAGTGTTGTGGTATTGACCTGTCTTTTTTTTTTTCTTTCTTTCTTTCTTTCCTATATTAGTTCTGGGGCTTGAACTTGAGGGTTAGGCACTGTCCTTGGTTTTTGTGCTCAAGGCTAGCACTCTGCTACTTGAGCCACAGCTCCACTTCGGGCTTTTTGATGGTAAATTGGAGATCAGAGTCTCACAAGCTTTCTTGTCTGGACCGGCTTTGAACCTTGATCCTCAGATCATAGCCTTCTGAGTAGCTAGGATTATAGGCGTGAGCCACTGGCACTTGGCTTGACCTTTCTTTTGAAACTGACAAGGATATTATTCTGCATTTGCTAGATTTTTTTATAGGGATGAAGAATGGTGGAGGACAAGGAGCAAATGAAAGAACAAAACAATAGTTCTCAGCAGATTTGAAATTTAAGATTTATCTGTTCTTAAAGTTCTATCTATAATTGTGGCTTTATTTTTTTCTTCAGGAAAATGTCTTTATCTAAATCATTTCCTAATGAACTAGAGAGAAATCATTCTGTTCTAGATATTAGGAATTACTGAGGTTATTTTGAAGCAATTGTATTCAAACCTTATATTTGAAAAATCCAATAATTTCTCTTAAAAATGGTTTATTTAAGGTCAGATATATGCATAGTAGTGTAATTACTAGAACGTTTTCGATAACTCTCCATGTACATTTGCTATTTTCACTTTTTTAGCCATTTAACAAGTATAAGATTGAGAGAGAAAAAATGACATATTTACTAATTGTCTGTGGTTTTGGAAGCTTTTGAAGCTTTACAAAAAGAAAACAAATGAAAGCAGAGATAGTGAAAAAAAGTACTTCTTTAAAGTGTGTACATTGAACTTGTTATAAGAATCAGAGTATTACTGAATCTGGAGGGAAGGAGTTCTTTATATGAGATTATTACTAGTCTAAATAGGTATGATTATAAAGTGTCATTAAAATAGTAGTATTTCCTGCTTGCTTTTCAGTTAATCCAAAAAATTCAAATAGATGAGACTTAATGTAGGTTATATTATAATGTTGTTATTATAAGGTAAACAACATCTGGAAATTAACTGAGTAAGGATGTATGTGTTTTAAACCAGAAAATCCGAGTTAACAGATTCTGCCTCCGTGCTGGATAATTTCAAATTCCTTGAAAATGCAGCTGCAGATTTCAGTGATGAAGATGAAGATGATGATGAGGGAAGAGATAAAAGTGTCATTGATACTTCAACGGTGAGTTAGATAACTCAGATGGCATAAATATTTCCAGACCTTAACTTTTTTTTTCATGAAGTTGAGGGAATGGGGAAGAATTTTTAGCACTGATTTCAAATTCAAGAATATTTAATATTTCACCTTTGTCATAAAATACTATACTTTGATTTTTTATTAATTCATTAATCATGCTAGCATTTCAGTAGTGCTGGTGAATATGATAAATGTATCTTATAACTGCAGTTTTTTTGATTGTGGTAAGATAATTGAACTGTCGGACATATGATAGTGCCTACAGCAACTAAGATCAGCTCAGATTTATGCTGTTTTTCTCTCTTGTATTCAGAGTTGCTTTGATACACAAGTTCTGTAGATTTTCAGAACTCTTCCATTAAATTTCTCTAAAATTGTTTAGGATATTTCTGTATTTTTGTTTAGATCATTATGTTTATTGATTTTTCTCATGACAGGGAAAGTCATGGAATAAGAAATGTCTCTGAGTGTCTATTTCTTCCTTCTTTTCCCTTCATAACTCTTGTGTTTTCTACTTTTCCTCTTTTTTCCTTCTTCTGTTTCTTTTCTTTTTTTCCTCTCTCTTTTCCTCCTTCTTTTCCTCCCTCTCTCTGTCTCTCTCTGTGTGTCTGAACCCTCCCTCCCTCCCTCCCTCCCTCCCTCCCTCCCTCCCTTCCTTCCTTCCTTCCTTCCTTCTTTTTTGGTGTTGTGTTGGTTGTGGGGCTTGAACTCAGAGCCTGGGTGCTGTCCCTGAGATTTTTTGCTCAACCACTTTGAGCCATAGTGCCACTTCTGGTTTTCTGTGGGGGTTGATTGGAGATAAGAGTCTAACAGGCTTCCTTGCCTGGTCTGGCTCTCTTCTTCTTATTCCTCTTCTCTCTTTTTTTTTTTTAAAGTAAGAAGTTAGGACATGCTTTGTTTTATTTAGGAAATGTTTGTTGTTTTCTTTCATATTTATTTAAGAATAAGAAGGAAAAAAGTAAAGTAATATGAAGCAGACTAGACCTAGGGTTAAAAGATTTGAAACTGCCACTAATAGTGCTTCTTAATGGGTAAGGCTGTTTTTATACTTTGTAAAATGAGGATTATAATAAATACACATCCCCTGAAGATTTTGTGATACAAAAAATACTATATATGAAAGTAAGTTTAGTGGACATATGTGCCATGATAGCCTCATTTCTAGAGGTAGAAATGATGAACAGTGGCCCACACAGAATACCCTATTCCCTTTTCCTGATGGTTCCTGACCCTGTTCAGTGTCCTCAACATCCTATGTGTCAGAAACAAGCACTTTCGTGGTAGTTTTTATTGTAACTGATCACTCAATCCTCTTTGGAAAGACAATGATACTCTTTTCAGTTGTCTTTTAGGATTGGACAATTTGTTAGTAGTTTTGGGACAGTGTTATACTATGGACTGTAATGCAGTAGACTATTTAAAGACACATTTAAAGATATATATTTGATTGATATGAATATGCCTGTTTGCTTTACTATACCTGACTTATTTCATTTCTTAGGTTAAAATGAGAAATATATACTACATGTTTTTGTTTTGGTAGTTAATTGAAGATAAGAGTCTCATGTATTTTCCTGCCCAAGGTTATTACTTGGAACTACCAGCCTCCTGACTTGCAGAGATTATAGGTGTGAGCCACCAGCTTAGAAACCAGTAGTTTCTAAGTGCAATTTCTGTTTTCTTATGTCCTCTTCTTCCGAGGATCCATTAAAGACTCTTAAATTATTACTGCCAAATTGCTGTTTTTCAAGATCACTAATTAGTAATACTGTAATACTGATAACAGCTCTGCCATGATTATTACATGAACTTTAAGCACTCACTCAAAACTTTTCTGATCCAGACAAGTAGTACTGGCATATGCCTTCATTTACAGTGGCAAAAAAAAAAAAAAAACGCCTAAAGGTCCAGAGTACTTTTTCTCTATCCTAGTCACCTGAAAATTGCGAGTCATTATAGTTTCTGTGGGGTGATTGCACTGAGATGATATTTTCTTATCAGAATTCTTTGTAGCCTAGTGGTAAAAAACACTAATTATGATGATGTAATTTTCTTTACTGATTATATCAATTTAAGTATTATCAGTTTAACTATTAAACATATTAAAACTATTTTGAATGCTTTGACTAGAAATTTCTAAGAATAGCCTACATTTCTAACCACTTAATTTTTCTAATTCATCGTCATTTAGGGTTTTTTTTTTGTTTTTTTTTTACATAATCAGATCCGTAAATGTATGTTGTGTCTTTTGTTAAGTGCTCTTTTAGCGAGCACTGGATTTTCCCTGCCTTTTTTGTCAGACAATGCAAACAATTCTCTGTTTATAAAATATTAGTGATGGCTCCTCTAAATTACAACTGGCAGCCTATCTGAGTCAAAGATCAAAGGGGATCAAGTCTCTAGGATAAAGGAAAGTGGAGGTGGCAGTGTATGTATAGATGAGATTTGTATGTGGCCTGTTGATATAACTCTTCAGAAGCATTTCTTGGGCTGTGTAGAGTGCTTGTCTCATATGCACAAGGCCCTGGGTTCAGTTCCTCAGTACCATATAAAAAGCCAGAAGTGGTGCTCTGGCTCAAGTGGTAGAGTGCTAGCCTTGAGCAAAAGAAGCTCAGGGATAGTGCCCAGGCCCTGAGTTCAAGCTCCAGGACCTGAAAAGAAAAAAAAAAAGCAAGCATTTCTTTGGTCTGGTTTCCAGGGAAAATTGGAAGAAATGATCAGCATGGGTTTGTGAGTACTTGCAGAAGACAACCCATCTAATAAGAGCTTTCTGTTTATAACCTGCCATACTAATCTTGTTGTTTCTTGTTTGTTTGCTTGTTTAGTTGCTAGATTTTAGACTGGGAAGTACTTTAAGCATAGAAGTATTTCTTAATTTTAGAAAAATACTCCAAAATTAGTAAACCAAATATAGCATCATTAAATAATCCTTGATTTCTCCTGTTCAGTTTTTGTGTATCCTTATGAATAGTTAAGACAGGTTGAGTCTGTAATGTTAGCTCTGTCCCATTAGTAGTGGCTTCCTGAACTGTGGAGGATTTCTGAGGCTGTGTTTCATCTTTGATGAAAAGAGCTGCAGTTGAAAAGTGATACCTGATGTGAGCATGAAAACAGGGCCATCAAGTCAAGTGTTATTTCTTAGAGTCTTTTTATTTAGGGCTAAACCTTTAAGTACTTTCTAGAGTGTTTAACTTTAGTATGTTTCATTTTAAACACTCAAAAAGTTCCAGGAAAAAGTATAGTCAGGTCATGCTATTTCTGTTTTACATGAAGTAACAAAACTAAAGTCTGGAGAAATTAAGATTTTGAAAGAAGCTCTAAACTACTTATTCTACTTTCTTTGGGCTCATATTGGTTCATGTGACCACAAAGGAAGATAATTTATCAAGAGCACAAACATATTGATCTCAAAAATCATCAAAAAAATTTTTAGCTCTGGATTTGTAATGCTAAACATTTCTCTATAAACATATTAAAATAAGATAATAATCTTTACCATAGTTGGTATTAAATCTAGGATATATTACTTTGAAAGATCAGGTTTTTTTTTTTTGAGGACAAAGTAAATATATAAAGATCTAATATACTACAAGTTGGCACTTTAAAAGCTTAGGCAGGAACATCTCAAGTTTGAGGCCAACCTGGGATTCAAAGCAAGACCCAGTCTCAAAAACTAAAATAAACTGCTATTGGAGAAGGTGATACAAAATTAGAACAGTAGAAATAATAATGGGAACCTGAGAATATCTTGTGATTCTTAAGAAGTATTTCTGAGTTTGTAGTTTTTGTGATTTGGTGTTTGTGTTGGGGTAAGAGAATTAAAGTTATTATTCATAGGATTGATGATGTGGCTAAATTGGTACAGTAATACCTGCCTCGCAGGAATGAAGTCCTAAAGTCAAACCCTAGTACTGCCCCCCCAAAGTTATCAGGATTATATTTTGAAAAATTCTTGTAATATTTTATTAAACTTGTTATTGGGGGCTAGATTAGAATGTTTGCAAACTGCACAGATAGCATCCAAGAAATATAATATCTGATTGTTGTTCATAATACCGTGTATTAGGGACATGTTAATTTATCTATAATTTAAGTACATATCTTATACTCCAATGATATCTATCCTTTATGTAAAATGAGCCATTGAACAAAGTTTAAACTATTGTTTTAAAATGTATAATATATATCTTTTTAAATGATCTGTGTATTTTTTACAGAATTACATAGTTTATCAGCTGGATGCTGGTGGCTCATGCCTGTAATCCTAGTTACTCAGGAGGCTGAGATCTGAGGATCACAGCTCGAAGCCAGCCCCGACAGTGAAGACTCTGATCTCCGATTAAAAAGCCAGAAGTAGTGCCATGACTCAAGTATTAGAGCACTAGTCTTGAGCACAAAGAAGCTTAGGGACAGTGCCCCAGGCCCTGAGTTCAAGCCCAGGATTGGCAAAAAAATAAAAAAATATTCTAATGTTTAAATTTATTTTTTCATTAGATTGTTAGGAAAAAAGCATTGCCTGATACCAGTGAAGATCGAGATACAAAAGAAGCTCTAAAGGAGTTTGACTTCTTGGTTACATCAGAGGAAGGAGACAATGAATCTAGAAGTGCAGGTGATGGAACAGACTGGGGTAAGGAAGAACTGGATTCAACTAGATGCCTAAGTAAACAAAAGAAGTCAATGATTTACCAGGAGAGCAATGCCTTGAAGAACTATAATATTGAAACAGTGACCATCCCATGAAAATTTCACTCCTTTTTTGTTCATGGGGTGTGTTTTTGTTTAAGGAAGATTGTATAACTAGTTACATATACCTATTTATATGTGCTATATAATGTGGAAACAAATTTGAATTGGAGTACAGAATGTTATGTTTTGTACTTAAACAGTAGCACTTGCAAACCTAGACTTTTGTGGAAACTTCAATATGAGAAAGTAAGAGAGGATTTTGAAGATGACATTTCATCTCCAATATCTTTTGTGCACAAAGAAGTAGGTTAGAAATTCATAGTTGCTCATTTTGCCAGCTTAGATGGGCATTAATTAGGAATTTTTTGTTTCTGTTTAAATGAAGCTAATATTTTAACTTCTAACGAGTTAAATATTTTGGAGAAACTTCTATACCATAGATTATTATTATAGTAGTTTGGAAATTCATTTACTGTGTGTGTGTGTGTGTGTGTGTGTGTGTGTGTGTGTGTGTGTGTGTGTTCAAGAGAGAGACCAAGAAAAAGGGAAATTCTGATACTTGAATAGGTGTTTTTTTTTTTTTTTTTTTGCCAGTTATAGGGCCTGAACTCTGGGCCTCAGCTCTTCAGCTCAAGGCTAGCGCTCTACCACTTGAGCCACAGTGCCACTTCTGGCCTTTTCTGCTTATGTGGTGCTGAGGAATCGAACCCAGGGCCTCATGCATACAAGGCAAGCGCTCTACCACTGAGCCACCTTCCCAGCCTTGAATAGGTATTTTTTGAGAGAATATAATGTAACTAGTGGTTGAAAGAACTTCAGTGTTCTTTCAGTGTTAAAAGATGAGCCAATGGCTTCTTATTTGAAATGGATGTTTCTGAGTTAATATTTCGTTTATAAGGATAAAAGTAGCTGTAAACATCATATAAAATTATTAAATCATTATTTAAATGTTGATACATGACATTATAAACATTTTTCATTTGCTTTTCTTCAAACAGCTACTTTAAATATTGATTTCGGTATGACTTCAAGAATTTGACTGCATTACTAAAACAAAAGCATCACTTATCCCTATAAGCCCTAATTTTTAAGTTATATTCTGTCTGCCTGGGCACAGGTGGTTCATGTCCGTAATCCTAGCTACTCAGAAGACTGAGATCTGAGGATCATGGTTTGAAGCCAACCCTAGCAGTAAAGCCTAAGACTCTTGTTTCCAATTAACTTTCAAAAAAAGAAGTGGAGCTGTGGCTCTAGTGGTAGAGTGCTAGCCTTGAGCAGAATAGTTCAGGGATAGGGACCAGGTTCTGAGTTTGAGCCCCAGGACTGGCACCAAACAAACAAAACAACGTAACACATCCTATCTCGAGGGTATACAAAAGCATTCTAAGCCAAAAAGAAAAGCCAGTGGCTCTTACCTATAATTCTAGCTATTCCAGAGGCTGAGATCTGAGGATCTTTGTTTGAACCCAGCTAAGACAGAGAAACCTGAGACACTCTTCATCTCCAAATAACCATCAAAAATCTGAAACTAGAGGTATGGTTCAGGTGGTAGAACCACAGCCATGAGTAAAAAAGCTGAACTAGAGCACTAGGATCTGAGTTCAAGACCCAGTACTGACACACACACATACAGATGATACCTTTTCCTTCTCTTATATTAAAAATTTTGCTCAATTTTCCCTCTTTCACACTTGTTTAACCAACCTAAGTGGCTGACAAGAAGACTATCAGGTAAGTTCAAGAGAAATATTTTTAGTAAACAGAATTTATGTATACATGTATGTGTATTTGTATTCTTTTTTTCTACCTGAAACACTCTTAACAATGAATATCATTATGATCACCTCCAAGAAAAAATGTTCTTTCTCTGTATACTATGATTAATCCCAATAGCACATGATCTGAGAAAAGTGGATTATATAGGAATTACTTTTCTTCTTTTGTATTCAAGGTAGATTTGAACTCTTCTTACCCAAAATCTATTATTATACTAGAAGCACTTATGGAATCTTATGGTGACTTTTCCTATTGAGCTGTTAAGTAGGTCACCAATACAAATCACTATTATTTTGCATTTATTGGAACTCCTCATGAGAGAAAGGAAACTCAGCTGACTTTTTACTGTTCTTTCAACTCATTTGCAAATGTTTCTAGGCTAGCTGGCTGGTTCATTTGTCACAGAATCATTGTAAATGGATATTGTGGTACTGTGATAATATTGACAATTAGAACCATGTCACATACTAGATTTTTCATCTGTCTTTATTTTTTCTTAAATCATGTAAATTTACTGTTTAACCCTTTAATTTCTTACTTAAGGGATTCTGTCTTGATACTATTGCTATTTATTCCTTTTTTGTGACAAAAACGTGAAGAATTATTTATGATAATTAAATAGAAAAATACACTTGCTTCAAGAGAACAAAGTTTTGAAGTTTAGTGAAATTGCTTTTTATTATTCTCTACTGAACTTATTTATCAAGTTACCTAGATATTTTAGGCAACAATTCCACATTATAGGAATAGCTTCAGCTATATCACAGTTAAGGTGTTTCTCTGAGAATCACATATCTACATAGATGATAACTGACCCTCTTTCATTGCCAGTCTCATTACAGTTATTTGGGACTTTTTTTTTCCTACCAAAACAGCTATAATTTCCCTTGTATAACTTCTTTCATTTCATTGTGTGAGTCACTGTCCAGTATATTACATGATGCATGTGTATACAGTTTAACCCAATATTGTATGAGGTAACTGGTGAAAACATGTTTGAATTGTCATATTCTTTTGTAGTGTACTTAGGTCTATCTGTTCATGAGTGAATAGAAGTGGAGGCTTCTTCACCTCTAGTTTCACCTGTTTAAGGGTCAAGTAGTAGAGCACCAGCTGAAGGAGCACATATGAGACCCTGAGTTTTAAAACTTGGTGCCAGAAAAAAAAATCCACAGAAAAGTTTTTGTTCTAATTTCAGATAATCTCAATATTCACTTAACAAATATTGTTTGATCGGGTGTTTTATATGTGCCAGATCTTCCAGATAAATTCTTACTTCTGTAATGCCTACAATCAACTAAGAGGACCTAGACAATGATCAATAGACCTAGTAAATGATACAGGATAGCAGTGGGTGATAAATGCTATGAAAAGAGCAAAAGAACAGAGTAAGGGAAATAAGGAGAGCTCAAATTGGGGGTGGTAATAAGAACAGGGATGCCATGGTAAACTCCATTAAGAGGGTAGCATTTGAGCAAAAGACTTTAAATTGATAAGGAAGTTGGCCAGGTAGAAGTATTTAGAAGGAAGAAAGTCAGAGTAGATACGAAGATAATAATAGTCCTGGAATGGCTAAGGAATTCAAGCAAGCCACAGTAGTTGGAGCACAGTGATTTCCAGGGGGCTCATAATAATCAGTGGCCACATTATGTAAGGCCATGTCAATTATTGGTGAGATGGAGAACCTTGAGAGGGATTTGAGCTGATTTTTATTTTATTTTATTTATTTTTTATTTATTATTTTATTTTATTTTTTTGTGAACATACTGTACAGAGGGGTTACAATTACATGGGCAGGATAATGTGTACATTTCTTATCAAGCATTGCAGCCTCCTCCTTTGTTTACCCTTTTGAGCTGATTTTTAAAGCAACACTCTGACTACTATACTGAGAATAGGTTACCCAGAGAACCACTGATAACCACCTTGAAGGAGAGGAAATAATTATTGCAGTCTTTCTTTCTTTCTTCCTTTCTTTTCTTTCTTTGTTTCTCTCTCTCTCTCTCCCTCTCTCCCCCTCTCTCCCTCTCTCTCTCTCCCTCTCTCCCTCTCTCCTTCTTTCTCTCTCCCTTTCTCTCTCGCTTTCTCTTTCTCTCTTTCTCTTTCTTTCTTTGTTGGTCATGGGGCTTGAACCTCTGGGCCTGAGTGCTGTACCTCAGCTCTTCAGCTCAAGGCTAGCACTCTACCACTTGGGTTAAAGTGCCACTTCCATTTTTCTGGTGGTTTATTGGAGATAAGAGTTTCATGGCCTTTCCTGCCTGGGGTTGGCTTTGAACTGTGATCCTCAGATCTCCGCCTCCTAAGTAGCTAGGATTACAGGCGTGAGCCACTGGTACTCGGCTATTGCAGTATTAAGAGATCCCAGTGGTCAAAGAAGTGAAGTGATCTGTTGAAAATTCACATTCTAGATGTATTTGAACATGGAGAAAACAGTATTTTCTGAAATATTCACTGTGGAATGGAAAAGAAAGGTTTTTGATCTAAGTAGATAGAAGTATAGAATGACTATTACATGAAGTACAGAACCCCATGGAAACAGATTGGATGAGGAGGAAACTGGGAGTTTGTATGTTCAGTTTGCAATGTCTGTTTGACTTTCTAGTGGACAGTAGAGTGAGCAGAATGATATGCAGGTCTTGAATTCAGACTAGAGTTTTGAGCTGACACTTCCATGGTATTATTGAGCACAATTATTTTATAGTAAGTGTAAGAGATCAAGCTTATATTTACTGTTTAACTTTTTCTGAAATAGTATTGAGTATCTTTTTTACTAGAAGCTCTGTTTCTTATTTTGAGAATTTATAGACTAACATCAGTTTTAATTTTTGACCTTACAAATTGCTATTTTTAGTATTTTTATTTACTTTTTTTGTCAGTCATGGGGCTTGAACTCTGTGCTTGGGCACTGTCCCTACGCTCTTCAGCTCAAGGGGAACGCTTGAGCCACAGTGCCACTTCCGGTTTTCTAGTGGTTTATTGAAGATAAGAGTCTCATGGACTTTCCTGCCTGGGCTGGCTTTGAACCGTGATCCTCAGATCTCAGCCTCCTGAGTAGCTAAGATGATAGGTGTGAGCCACCTGTGCCTGGTTTCAAAGTGCTATTTTTAAAGTCAGTAAAATAAAGAGTATGTCAGTGAACACATGCCAAAATCAAAAGTGTTGAAATAGAAAGATCATTACAGATGAGTTTGTATTATCTCTGAATAAGTCTTTTCTCTTTAGCACAAAAATAAATATGAAGTGTATTTTGTGAGATTCTATTCATGAAAGAAATCATAAAATATAATGAATAATAATGAGAGGTTCTTGAGTATAAGGTATTTGGAGAGTTGCTTAAATTTCTTGATTTTTTTCACATATCTCTTTCAGAGGAAATTTATTTTTGATTAGGGATTGAACTGATGATTACTTCTCAGTGGTTATATTTCTGTGGCTAAGTAAATAATGCTGTAGAGAAAATGGTGTCTATCAGACATATTGACTTTTAGAGTATTTGATATCTTATTGAAAAAGGCTATTTCATTTGTTTTACTCTGTTTAGAAAAGGAAGACCAATGTCTCATGCCTGAAGCCTGGAATGTGGACCAGGGAGTAATTACCAAACTCAAGGAACAATACAAAAAGGAGAGAAAGGGGAAAAAAGGGGTGAAGAGTAAGTGGAAAACATTGTATCTGTAAATCATAAATCTTGCCTCTTTTTACATCTCCTAAGTTTTTTTTTCAATGTTTTCCTAAAACTACTTACTCTTTTTCATTTCTGCTCCTGACCTCTTTCCTTTCACCTACTCTCAGGGGTTGAAATTAAATGGTTAGCCATTTGATTATGAAGTTAACAAAAAACCATATATGAGTATGGAATAATAACAAATTTAGAGCCTTATGAGAGTATTAAACTATATATTTAAATAGTGATAAGTTGATATTCAAAAGCGTATATGCCGAATTACAATGATATTTATTCCTAATGGCAGTTTATAAATCTCATCTAACTTGATCTTCTGACAAACCAGCAAAGATATTGCTTATACTTTAAGATTTTGGATACAAAATTTCTACCCCTGAATGCTTCATGTTCACAATACACAGTTCATTTGCTCACAACCACTATATGCTATACAGGGCACAGAATCAAAAGCATAAAGTCTTTTTGTAATTTAAAAACTTTGGCCAATTTAATTCATAGCAATTTTACTAGTTACCTTTTTTTTCTTTCCAATAATATATTTGCTTTATCAAAAACGAGCTAAAATGAAAGTTCCAGCCCTGTGAATCATATAATTCATTATGCAAATGAAAGGTTTAACAATAGACCTAGTTAAATATGTAAAGTGGAAATACTAACTCTTTCAAAACATCTCTAAAAACAATCTTCAACATTTATTTAGGAGAACAAGGCTAAAGAACCTTCTCATATTCCCACCCTCATTGTTAATCGGCCTCCCCTTTATGGTAATAGAAATTTCATCCATTGTGATATAAAGGGCAGTATAAGGTGAGATTAAAGTATTAACTTAGTGAAAAATGTATTTATAACCTGAAAAAAACCAGAGGGATATGCTTTATCACTCTATTTTTAAATTGTATCAACTAGTTCAGGTATGACATTTTTTACAGTGTGGTAGTAACTTGAAAACATTTAGAACTTTATTTTGAATACTTAGAATTTATTGATGTTTAAAAAAATTCATTATCATTAGTAGTACAGTATCAACAATTACCTACTGAGACATATCATTTAGTACTATCTCAATATAAATTAAATCAGAATGAAAAGATTACTATTAAAACAAGAACATTTCATACTTTTTATCAAATATACTGATAAAAATTTAATCTTCATAGATGTCCTGTGACATGAATTGTCATGACTTTTGGAGCCTTGACCAAGCAGTTAAACTGAAATTTTGAAGAAAACTGTTTATGTCATATTTGAGAAATAATTTCTAGATTAGCTTAACAGTTAATACATTTAAGTCATTATGGTATAAGAATGGATATCTCGAAATGTGAACATATTTTGATTGGAAACCTAGCCAAGACTTACATAGAATTCATCTACTCTCACATAGATGATTCAGGTCTTGTCAAGTGTCAAGGTATCACTTAAGATCTAAAATTGCACCATTTGACTGGAACAGTATTCCTACCAATAGAAGCAATTGCATTTCCCGAATCTGAGAATTAGAATCTGGCTCTTTTTGTGTGTGTGTGTGTGTGTGTGTGTGTGTGTTTAGTAAAGTAAATAAAAAATTCTGGGGTGGAAAGAGATTTGAATATCTCAGGTGGAGGGAATGTAGACTGAAGTTCAGCAGATTTTTTTTTAAATCATTTTTACCTTTTACCTGTTACTTTGCTAAGTAGCAGTGTAAGAAACAAGTGAAGATTTATGATTAAAAAAACCCCAAAACTTTGAATGGACTTAATGAAGCATTAATTTATAAACTACCATAATGTATTTTTAGTTGGACTTAATAGAAGAATTTGAGTCTTTTAAATTGATGTAGTATATATATTTTTTCCAGTCAAATTGTGTACTCTGATCAAACTATCTTAAAATACAATTTTAGGTATTAGTTAAAATTGCTTAGAAATAGTTGTATCTTTGCTGGTATAGGGGAAAAAAAACCATAATGGACTATGGGTAAGATTTTCCCATTCTTAATTAAACTTATAACAGGAAAAACTACCGAAGATCTGTTTCAGCCTCTATCCTATATAAAACAGTCAAAACAGGGATGTGGGAGAATGAAGAATCAAAGCTCAGGTAAGTAATTAGTAGGGCATGAGATTTCACCTTGGGTACCATAGCTTCAGGATGTAAGACAGTGAATGAAATTTAATTTAAACAAACGGGTGTTACTGCTTTAATTCATAGTTCACAATCTGAGGTGTCTGTCTTCATTTAGAGTCCGTATCATTGATTATAGACTATTAATGACTTTTAATTGGTCCAACTTGTATATAAATGTTCTTTTTCATTCAAATAATGATTCCATTGGCTTAATTTATAAAAATATATCTAAAATACATTTCTTTTCAAGAAATAATAAACTTTTAGAATTTAAAAACTTAAAGTAATTCTTATTGATAAATCTAGGATGTTTTTAAAGATAAATGTTGATAGATGTGAAATAAGGTTGATGTCACAATTATGATTTAGTACATAATTCTGTTTCTTCTTTTGTTTCCTCTCCCTGTCCCCCTTTTTTTTGGCTAGGACCCAATAGGTCAAAACTACAAGATATGCTTGCTAATTTGAGAGATGTTGATGAACTTCCTTCATTGCAGCCGTCTGTGGGTTCACCTTCCAGACCCAGCAGCTCCAGGCTACCTGAACATGAAATCAGTAGGGCAGATGAAGGTACATATTTAAGATACTCTGGAACACAGAAAGTACTGAAACACAAAGCTGTAAACTCAGTTATTACTATAAAGGACTCTCCTGTCATAGAATTTTACTCTGAAAATATTAGATGTACATAAGTATTCTCTAAATGTAGGCTTTTTTGTATTCAGTTAGATTAATTCCCACTTCATCTTTACAACTTCATAAACTTTCATAAACTTTAAAACTAATTCTTACATTTTGGTTTAGAATACCCTGTAATTCCTGTGCAAATAACATTCAGCTGCTGAGAAAATTAAGAACAAAAATAAGTAATAAATGTTTACCTTGAGATTCAACACAAACATTTTATTTAAGCTATTTATTAGTGATAAAAAGTGTGTATGGCTGCAATTCACCTAACAGTTGAGTCACATCTTCAGCTTCTTGTGTTTCCTTGTCAACATGCCTTTTTATATATACTTACATAGATACTTTTTATATATAAGTATATATGTACTTTTCTTATATAATAATTCAGTTTTATAGTTAAAATGATTTTTAAGGCAGTATCTCACACCTGTAATCCCAGCTACTCATGTGGCTGAGATCTGAGCATTGGAGTTTGAAGTCAGCCTGGGCAGGAAAGCCTGTGAGACTCTTTATCACCAATTAACTACCAAAGAGCCAGAAGTGGAGCTGTGGCTCAAGTGGTAGAGTGCTAACCTTGAACAAAAAAAGCTCAAAGACAGTGCTGAGGCCCTGAGTTCAAGCCTCAGAACTAGCACAGAAGAAAATAATAATTTTTTTGTTGAGCCACAGCACCACTTCCAGCTTTTTCTATGTATGTGGTACTGAGGGTACTACCCAGGGCTTCATGCATGCTAGGTAAGCACTCTACCATTAAGCCACATTCCAGCCAGAAAATAATAACTTTTAAACTTACAACTCTTAATATTAAATATTATCCTTGAGATGACACCAATCCCTTTTGAATATTGTTATTCAGTAGTTGTTTACAGCTTTTTATGGTAACTCTTTTGTTATATAAATACACACACACACACACACACACACACACACAAATACAGTTTTCTCAGAGGTAGTGATATGTAGCTCAGTGGTAGAGCATTTGTCATGTGCAAGGCTTGGATTTACTCTTCATCATCACAGAGAGGGAGAGATCAAGAGGGAAGGGGAAAGAAAGGATGAGAGAGAGAAAATGAGAATAAGAAGATGAAATAAGTTATATATTTAATTTTGTGACATACTTCTTGGTCTTCTCCACTTGCAGAAAAAAGCCTACGTATGTTCTATAGTTTTATCACTTGATTTTTTTTTTTTTAATTTTATTTTATTTTATTTGAGAACATACTGTACAGAGGGGTTACAATTACATGGGCAGGATAATGCATACATTTCTTACCAAGCATTGCATCCTCCTCCTTTGTTTACCCTTCACCTCCCTTCCCAGCCTCCCCCCTCCCTCCCACCCAATCATACCCCCCCCCCCCCCCCACCGACATTGTAAAGCTGGTTTTGACATGACATTTTGAACTTCTCATTGTTGCAACAGGTCCACCTGAATCCTTAAACGACTTGTTTGTCCCCGTCTCCTCCACATGTTATACTGACATCAAATATAGTGAAAGCAGGGGTTACACTGTGGGGGAGGGACACACAAAGCAACAAAGAAATAATCTTATAAATGCATTAGAAACACATGTATGAAAGAAACAAAAACATTAAAATACATATTTGAGGTTTTGTTTTCCTAACATCACATTATCTGACTTTTTCCGCTTGACTCATACCTATACTAGATATTGCAAATAAGGGAAACCATGGGACCTATGTTTCTTTGGGCCTGGCTTACTTCACTTAATATAATTTTTTCCAAGCCTTTCCATTTCCTAACAAATGGGGCAATGTCATTCTTTCTGATGGAGGCATAGAATTCCATTGTTTATCACTTGATTTTTATTCAGAAGGTAATGTTATATTTAAGAGGTATAGTTACATAACTAGAAATGTGAGCTATAGTCTTAAGTTTGGGGCCTTTAGAGAACAAGATACTCAGAGCATAATGCCCATTGTTGCTCCTCTCTTCAGACATCTGCTGACTATCCATGGGGGTATGAGGATATTGTTGTTACCTTCTTTGTTTTTAGTTTTACTTTGCAATTTCTGGAGCATTGGTTAAAACTAGCCCATACAGTGTGTATGGTCAGAAACCTTGGTATTTGTTTAAAGTTGTTTTAGTTCACAGTTGATTGTTTGAAATGAAAACAAAATAAACAAACTCTTGTCTTAAGACCTAGCTTCCTACTCTCAAAATAGTAGTTTCTTTGTAAATTTGGCCTGAGAGTTATTTTCTAAATTAAACAATTTCTACTGTATATTAATAAATATTTAGAGCTTTTTGTAACCCCGAGATATCACATAGCATTTAGGCAAAACCTATTTTTATTATTGCTGCTGTATTATAAAGTGACTTGGTAATGGTCTTAATTTTTTTTTTAATTTAATTTTATTTTATTTGTGAACATACTGTACAGAGGGGTTACAATTACATGGGCAGGATAATGCGTACATTTCTTACCAAGCATTGCAGCCTCCTCCTTTGGTTTACCCTTCACATCCCTTCCCAGCCCTCCCCCCTCCCAATGGTCTTAATTTTTATTCTGTTTTATTCTGACAAGGATTTTTAAGTAGAGTTTCTGTCTCTACTATTAAAAATAATTATTTAATTTAATCAACAAATATTTAGTATTAGATATGATTGACTGTAACACCAAGAAAAAAATCTTGTTAATCTGTTAATACAGTTGACTTGTTTAACTTCGGAGAAAAAAGATAATTTTTCTTTCTCAGAAGTGTTTGTCATCAATAAAGTAATTACCTCTAGAAACCAACTCCAAGAACATGTCTGATTGTCAGAATAAATTTTCGCTTAAAATTTTAAAGAGTTAAAGTATAGGAAGTGGCGCTGTGGCTCAAGCGGTAGAACTCTCTCCTTGAGCTGAAGAGCGCAGGAACAGCGCCCAAGCCCAGAGTTCAAGCCCCATGACCGACTCCCCCCTGCCCCCCCCCAAAAAGAGTTAAAGTATATTAAAGTATATCATAATTTGGCATTTTACTTTTAACTGATTCTTTTTTTTTTGGGGGGGGGGGTCCAGTCATGGGGCTTGAACTCTGGGCCTGGGCGCTGTCCCTCAGCTCTTCAGCTCAAGGCTAGCGCTCTACCACTTGAGCCACAGCGCCACTTCTGGCTTTTTTCTTTTTGCTTATGTGGTGCTGAGGAATCAAACCCAGGGCCTCATGCCTGCAAGGCAAGCTCTCTACCACTGAGCCACCTTCCCAGCCCTTAACTGATTCTTCTATAATAGTTATTGAAAGGATTACATTGTGTATTCTTAGTTAAAAAAACAGAATATTCAAATTTATCACAAAGTAAGGCTATGTCTTGAAGCACTGTTAACAGGAAACCATAAAAGTGTTAAATAGATCTAAAATCTTCAGAGAATTGAGCTACTAATTTAAGTGGAGTACTTGCCTAACTTGTGAGGCTCTTGAGTTCCATCTTAGTATGTGACATTGACACAGACACACATGAAATATACCCTCTGACATAACATTTTTAAATAAAGTATACCCACAAAAAAGTACTGAAATAATAAGGGAACAATTCAATTAATTATAATAAATTCAGAATTATCAGCCATCTGTGCTACTACCTCAGGTTAAGAAGTAGAACATTATCAAGGCCCTAGGAGTTGAGCTTGTATTACCTTTGGATCACTGTCTCCTCCATGCCTCTCAGATGAGACTTGACTTTTTATTTTTAAATTTTCTGTGCTCGTTCTGGGGCTTAAACTTGAGGCTTGGATACCATCCTTGAGTTTTTGTACTCAAGACTAGTGCTCTTATACTTGAGCCACAGCTCCACTTCTGGCTTTTTGGTGATTAATTGGAGATCAGAGTCTCACAGGCTTCTTTGTCTGGGCTTTGAAAAGCAATCCTCACATCTCAGCCTCCTGAGTAGCTAGATTTACAGGCATGAGCCACCAGTACTAGCTGGGCCTGACTTTTTTTTTTTAATTTTTTATTGTGAAAATACTGTACAGAGGGGTTACAATTACATGGGCAAGATAATGGCCTGACTTTTGACACTACAAATTAATTTTGCCTCAGGCACATCTTAAAATTATAAACATTTTTATTTTAAAATTTCTTTAGTCTTCCAGGTTATAAAATCGATTAATTTTGATTGACTCCAGCAGTGTTGAGAATTAGTTGTTTGAAATATTAAGTGATTGATAACAGTGATTTGGATAATTAGTATAAAATATCAAATGGGGGAACTTACTTTGTTTTCTGTGTAATGAAAAGGGAAAGCCAGTATTAGATTTGGTTCAAGCTTTACTTTTCTGATTATATGAAATGCCTTTAGTTGTGGATAAGATAGGAAAAGAAAATTATTCAAGGTTTTCTGTTCATTGACTTTTACATATTTTAAAACATTTTAAATAGTTACATATATACATTACAAAGACCTTTGATTAAAAAAATGAAACTAGTTGTTGATAATTTTAAAAAGTTCTTTTTTTTAAATGAAAAAAGTATTTTATTCCTAGGATTTCTAGGTAATTGGCAAAGAAATTTTCTAGTCTGAATAGTAAATTCAGTAAGCCAGTGAGCTCAGCTATCACATTTGGAAAAAGTATCCACATCACCTCCACTGAAAATGTCATTGTACAATTCTGCTTTAGAACACCATTTTCAGAGAAGCATAATCCTTAAGCATAATCCATTCATTTTTTATAATCCAATTTTAAAAAGTTCTCAATGTTTATCTTCTTCCTTCAGTTGAAGCACTGACATTTCCTCCTTCTTCTGGGAAGTCTTTCATTATGGGAGCAGATGAAGCCCTTGAAAGTGAACTAGGACTTGGAGAATTAGCAGGCCTTACAGTGGCCAATGAAGCAGACTCACTAGCTTACGATGTAAGTGGTAGTTTTGTTTGTTATGTTTTTCCTTAGTTTTTGAAAATAAAAAGTTGGATTTATAGAAAAATATGGTTGTGGTAAAATCTTTACAAGTATAGACCTTGTTTCAGCTTTGATTACACACTTTGCAAAGATGAATAAGAAGATAAATTATTTTAAATAACCTAATGATTAAAATTATAGTTTTTTGCCTGGTTAGTAATGTTCAAAATAACAGATAATTCTCAAAATAGCACCTATTGTTAACACTGCTCATTTTCTTAATGTGTTAGCAATACTTGCCCAAGTTTTTTTTTTTTTTTTGTTGGTCGTGGGGCTTGAACTCTGGGCCTGGGTGCTGTCCCTCAGCTCTTCAGCTCAAGGCGAGCGCTCTACCACTTGAGCTACAGCGCCACTTCCAGTTTTCTGGTGGTTTATTGGAGATAGGAGTTTCACGGTCTCTCCTGCCCGGGCTGGCTTTGAACCGCGATCCTCAGATCTCAGCCTCCTGAGTAGCTAGGATTACAGGCGTGAGCCACCAGCACCCGGCTTGCCCAAGTTTTTTTTAAGTCTAGTATGAGTTTACTTTTTGAATGTGAAGAAATCATATATAGTGCTAATATAAATAAATGCCAGCTACTACTTCAGTTTTCCTGTTATTTGGAATAAAAAAAAATAGTGCTTTTTTCCCTCAGTTGTTGGGAGTTACTATGAAGATAAAGGACATAATGATGTGTTTCTTTTACCCACATGTATCTATCTATCTATCTATCTATCTATCTAAATATATATATATATATTTTTTTATTTTTTATTTTTTGTCAGTCATGGGGCTTGAACTCTGGGCTTGGGTGCTATTTCTGTGCTCTTCAGCTCAAGGCGAGTGCTCTACTGCTTGAGCCACAGCGCCACTTCTGGTTTTTCTAGTGGTTTATTGGAGATAGGAGTCTCACAGACTTTTCTGCCCGAGCTGGCTTTGAACTATGATCCTCAGATCTCAGCCTCCTGAGTAGCTAGGATTACAGGCGTGAGCCAATGGCGCCCGGCTCACATGTATATTTTTTACTATCTGATTGTTTCCTCTAACATTTTCTATTTCCAATTTATAAACCTGATTTTTAGTTTGATGAAGAAAATTTAGCCCAAATTAGAACGTTAAAAAAAATGACCATGTTTTAAAATGTTAACGTAAATGTAAAGATTACTTAATTTTTCAACTCCTTATCCAAAGTAACTTTTTTCCCCCCTGGGGATGGAGGAAACAAGTAATCAGGACCTTGCACTGGTTAGGCAGATGCTTTACCACCTGAACTATGCTGCAGTCCTTAAAATGATCATTTCTATACCGTAGTTTAGATTGAGTTGCATGGCTTAGGAACCCTCCTAGTTATATTAGTCACTTCCTATCATTGTCACTTCCTATCATTGTGACAAAATTCTTGTGATAACTGCTTACAAGGAAGGAACATTTATTTTGCATCACAGTTTTCAGTTTTCAGTCTGGTCAGTTGATTTGTTTCTTGGAGGCTTATGTAAAGTTTATCATGATGGAGGAAGGGTTAGGCAGCTGGGAAACAAAGAGAAAGAGAAGGACAAAGGGTCCCAATAAATCCATCAAGGGCAAACTCCTCAGTGATCTAACTTTCTTTCCAGTTGGCCCATCTTGTAGAGCTTCTGCCACCTCATAGTAGTTCCATAGCCTGGGGACCAAGCCTTCAACAAGTGAATCTTTAGAAGGCATATAAGATCTAAACTAGAATTTGTGAAAGCCTATTTTTCTATAATTATTTGATATACTTTTTATATTGAGTCCGTATTTCTTCAGAGAAAACCACTGTTGACATTTGGCTGTGGTTTGGTTATTTACATTTAATAATTATATTGATTTGAAAGTTGTACAATGTGATGGTTTAGTAAGAAGGCAACAAGAATTAATGTTTAGGGGCTGGGAAGGTTGGTCAGTGGTAGAGTGCTTGCCTTGCATGCATGAGGCCCTGGGTTTGAGTCCTCAGTACCACATAAGCAGGAAAAGCCAGAAGCGGCACTGTGGCTCAACTGGTAGAGTGCTAGCCTTGAGCAGAAGAGCTGAGGGACAACACCCAGGCCCAGAGTTCAGGCCCCACGACCGGCAAAAAAAAAAAAAAAGAATTAATTTTTAAATGTAAGAAGTTTTTCTCCTAGTCTGAATGAACTATATCTTTGTTTTGTTTCATTGATAGATAGCAAACAATAAAGATGCACTGAGGAAGACTTGGAACCCTAAGTTTACATTAAGAAGTCATTTTGATGGCATCCGAGCCCTTGCTTTCCACCCCATTGAGCCTGTTTTGATAACAGCATCAGAGGATCATACACTGAAAATGTGGAATTTGCAGAAAACAGCTCCAGCCAAAAAGTGAGACTATTGTACTTTAACTTTATTTGATATTTCAGTTAAGTTTCTCAGGAAGAATACATTTAATTACTTGCTGTTCAGTTTCTTCTAGCTCTTTCTTCTTTACCATGTCATGTAATTTAGTTTTTCTTTTCATTAGAGTCTAATGTTATGTTGGAAAAACTGACATATAGGAAAGGAATGTTTTAATCTGATATTTTCCCCAGAGTTTATGAATGCTGATTTACAGTCCTTTTTCATGCAGTGTTTTTTGATATCTGTCATGTTTGGAGAGCCTCTTGTTTCTACTGAAGATTCATACTGTTAGTAAAATAGGCATGTTTAAAATGACCAAATCTTCACCTTCTTCTGCTCTATTGTTCACTAAGTTTGAATGTACAGAGTGGAGGAGAGAAAGGACTGATTGGGAGCAGTAAAGGACCTGTCTTGGTCTTAACTTTTTAGGCTGCGGTACATTTCATACCAACCAGTATCTCTAAATTGAAAAGTACTACTTAGTTGCTAGTCTGGTCTTGAACCATTGGTTCTAAATATTAATGGACATGATTTAGTATAAACCTTCTTAGAAGTCCCTGAAGTAGACTTGATTCTACATGATGGAACACTTAGTGGAGCTCTTCTTCTTCCTTGGATCACATTGTTCAAAACTAATATCTGCCATCAAGAACTCTTCTGCAGTCTGAGGAACAAAAGTGTTCTCCATCAAATGGAGAACATTATTGAAATTTTTTCACTGATAAATCTGTTGTCCAGTTTGAAAGAGATCAGTAGTATTTATTCTGTGAGTCATATATAAAGTAGACTAGGTATTTTCAGTTGAGAAGATTGTTTTTTCTGTTTGTTATACCTTTTACCTTTTAAATTTTTTTAATTGCAATGTACTAGCTGCAGTTCTAACATTAATAGTAACTATAATAGAACTATTAATAGAACTATATAAGTGTCTCATTTAGAAAAACATTGAAACAAATTTCTTGTTGGAGATAGCTTACTAAAAATACTTTAACATGAAAATAACAGATGTTTAACCTTTGGACTTAAAGCCTGAAAATGACTTGAGGAGAGATGATAAATGCTTCAAAATAACTGCAATACAACGTACTTGACTTTAAATCCAGTTTTCATGATAAGTAGGTAATGTAGTTTATCCATAGTAGCCGTAGTAGTATTGTTAGTAATGAGTAAAATACTGACTTTCAGGACAGTTTCTACAGAATCAAGGATAACCTTCATGGAAAGCTAAGGAAATCAAAGTACATTTGTTGAAATCCTATCCTGCATTTGGTTTTATCCTGGGCTGTTTTTTTTTTTTTTTTCCCTAATCTTTCTGGGCTGTTTTTTAGGTTGTAGAAATTAATTTAATCAAATGAGTGTTTCGTACTTTCACCATTTTTCTTTTTTGTAAATCTGAACTTTATTCATTTTTTTGCACATATCTTTCCCCAATTCATAGATTTTTTTTAAATCTCTATGTATAAACAATTTTTCTATTTACTTAAAAAAAATCTGAAGTTGTCTAAGTCTAAATAGCTTACCTAAAGTTAATACTTAATTTAATGGCAGAACTGGAAATTGAAGTCAGAAATGTATCCCTATAAACCCCTTGTTTTTCTGAATAAAATTGTCTCTCAGCTGGGTGCTGGTGGCTCACTCCTGTAATTCTAGCTACTTAGGAGGCTGAGATCTGAGGATCGCTTTTCAAAGCCAACCTGGGCAGGAAAGTCTGTGAGACTTTTATCTCTAATTAGCCACCAGAAAACTGGAAGTGGCACTGTGCCTCAAGTGGTAGATGCTTACCTTGAGCTGAAGAGCCCAGGGACAGCGCCAAAGCCCAGAGTTCAAGCCCCATGACTGAGGCTCTCCCCCTCCCCCCACCCCCAAAAAAAAGTTGTCTCTCCTTTTTTTTTTTGGTTGGTTGAGGGGTCTGAACTCTGGCCTGGGCACTGTCCCTTGGCTCTTCAACTCAAGGCTAGCGCTCTACCACTAGAGTCATAGCTCCACTTCTGGGCTTTTCTGCTTATGTGGTGCTGAGGAATTGAACCCAGGGCCTCATGCATGCAAGACAAGCACTCTACCACTGAGCCACCTTCCCAGCCCCTCCTTTTACTCAGATTGTAACAGTGCTGAAACCATTGTAACAAAATTATTACTACTGCATAAGGAACTTGTTCCATGACACCAGAAAAAGTAAGTGGAGTTAGGTAAGTTTTCTTAAGTATAGTGTAGTTGAGAATTACCAGGATGACTATATTTCTAAAGGCAGTTTTATGACATACATTATTGTATTGTTTATTGTTAAATTTAGAATTGTTACTTGTCTCCTTTCTTATTTAGGAGTACTTCTCTTGATGTAGAGCCTATCTATACCTTCAGGGCTCACAAGTAAGTATGTGTTTGTTTATTCATTTGTTCATTCAGTCATTCATTTTGTCAATCATTGGACTTGAACTCAGAGCCTGAGTGCTGTCCAGAGCTTTTTTGCTCAAAGTAGTTTTACTATCACTTCCAGTTTCCTAGTGGTTAATTGGAGAGGAGAGTTTCATGGAGTTTCCTGCCTGGTCTGGCTTTGAACTACAATCCTCAAATCTCATTCTCTTAAGTAGTTAGCTAAGATTAGAACACTTGACTTGTGTTTTTTATTTTAAACTGGTATCATTGTAAAACAGAATTGTAAACAATCTTTAATAGGATATTTTTATTTCGCTTACATATTTTTATTACTTAATTTTAGTATTTAGTTCTGGTTTTCTTGTAAATGTAAAAAAATTGACAAGTATTACTGTGCTAAATACAAGTTTATTGCTACTAAATAGGGTCCTTACTGAAAGGTTTTATTTGCATGATGCCTAAATGATGTATGTACACATCTTAAAATAAAGTTGAGGCAATTAGGTTTAAATATTAGAAATCTTGGCAATGTTTTTCTCTTAAAGATGATTGACATAAACATATCTAGGCAGATAGATTTACAAGGAGATTCTAATACCTTTTATATATAGGGTCAGCTGGTAAATATTTTCTGGTTTTGTAGGCTAGATACTTGCAATTGGCTTTGTTTATTTGGTTTTGGTTTCTGTCTTGGGGATAGAACTCTCTAAGTTTTGGTTTAGTATATTCTTTGGTTGTTTCATTTTGTCTTTAAGAATATAAAGAAATATACTTTATTTACCTTTAAGATCTCACAGTCCACTGTTAGATAGAGATGGTGTACATTATGTGAAAAATGAACTGTGAAACTTGAAAGTTACACAGAGTATGGATGGGAAGGGACAGATGGAAAAGAATAAAGGAAGGGGTGACATTGACCAAGAAGCATTGTACTTGCAACCTGACTCATCGAATTATAACCTTTTCTACAACTACTTAAAATTAACAAATAAGAAAGAAAGAATTACTGGGCACTGGTGACTCACACCTGTAATCTTAGTTCTAACTCAGGAGGCTAATATCTGAGGATCACAGCTCAACTCATGTAGGAAAGTCTGTGAGATTCTATCTAACTAGTGCCAGAAATGGAGCTCTGGCTCAAGTGGTTGGGTTCTAGTCTTGAGCAAAAAAGACAGCGTCTAGGTCCTGAGTTCAAGACCCATGACTAATTTAGCACCCACATGTGCCTGCACACACATACACACACACATTTGTAAGAATCATTCTTAGCTTGAGACTGAACAGAAACAGATTACTGGTAGAATTTTGCCTACAGCCATGATTTTATAACCTCTGGTTTGAACACTAATTTGACAGTATTTTTATTCATTGTTTTAGGCAGAAAAATAGAAAGTCATTTGAGTAATTAAGCATTTGTGTCTTTGACAAACCATTATAGGACTTATTTTTGAAAACAGCAGTTTACTTACTTACCCCAATTTATTTAACTTCGCAGAGGCCCAGTGCTTTGTGTGGTAATGAGCAGCAATGGTGAGCAATGCTACAGTGGTGGTACTGACGGACTGATCCAGAGCTGGAATACCACTAATCCTAACATTGATCCCTATGATTCCTACGGTAAGTCATTCCCAATGTTTTAAAAGACCAGTGTTTGGTCTGCCGCATTTTCCCACAATGGCTTTAAGGTTAACATTAGGTATTTTTTTCTTTTGTTTTATTTTGAAAATACTGTACAGAGGGGTTACAATTACATGAGCAAGGTAATGAGTTCATTTATAATCAAGCATTGTAGCCTCCTCCTTTGTTTCCCCTTCCCATCCCTTCCCATCTTCCCCCGCCCCCCCAAAAATTAAGTATTTTTGAAAATAAGAGAAGCGTATCTTCCTTTGTTTGGTTAGGAAATAATTTGATATGTATTATGCAAAAGAAAAAACAAGTTCTTACTGAGAAAACAGTTCATATTTCCCCATATTCAGCTTGAGTAACTATTGTTTTCTTCATTTTAGGCTTCTATATGGTACTTGAAGCATTTCTAACCTATAATCATTTCATCATTGTTCTTACAAACAACTTTGAAGGAAAATGAATGTTATCATTATCATTAGAGGATAATGATATTGGAGGGATATAGACACTTAGGGTGTTTTAAGTATATGCCACCAAAATATTTAAAAAGGCTACAAGATTAAGAAGTGTCCTTTAAATCTTAGAAACAGTATCCTAGGCATAAATCCATATTATATTTATCACTCAATAGTAACATAAGTTCTCTTTCAAAATTTGTATAGGAATGGGTAGATTTGGTTTTCATTTAAGTTGTACAGTGGTTTAAAATGTCATAAAGCTGTTTTGCTGAATCTTTTACAAGAACATCTGATTTTTAAAATAAACCATTTAAAATGTGGAATCATTTAAAAGCTGTATAATGTTTTAAAGTGTTATTTGTCATAAAACTGTATTTACTATCTACTATTTAATTTCCTTGGATTTTTTTTTTTGGGGGGGGGGTCACTCATGGGGCTTGAACTCTGGCCCTGGGTGCTATCCCTAAGCTCTTCAGCTCAAGGTGAGTGCTCTACCACTTGAGCCACAGTGCCATTTCCTACTATTTAATTTAAATTTACTATTTAAATTTTACTATTTTTTGAGTTTTGCCACCAATTCTAAGTAAACATAAATTTAGTAAACAAAAATTTCTTTTAACACTTAATAAGCATTAAAAATAGATCATTTTCTCTAAGAAAGAATGTACTTTTAATTAAAGTTTTAATTAAAGTTGAATTCCACAATTGTATATTTCCAGGCCTGTTTTTAATTACTACAACATTTAAAAGAAACTAGTCAAAGAATTTCACCCTATTATCAGAAGCTTTTATTTTACTTCTACGGAACCTGTAACAATAACTTCATGGTAATTTTCTCCTGGTTTTGTACTCTTTTTTACATAGACCCTTCTGTATTGCGAGGCCCTCTGCTAGGTCACACGGATGCAGTCTGGGGTCTGGCGTACAGTGCGGCACATCAGCGTTTGTTGTCCTGCTCAGCAGATGGCACTCTTCGTTTATGGAACACAATGGAGGTTGCTCCAGCTCTAAGTGTATTTAGTGATAATCAAGGTACATACCTTAGATTATTTTGCTGAATCTTTTGTAAAAACATCATATTTTTGAGACGGAACAAGCAAGCAAATAAATAATTCTGTAAACTCTATTTAAATCTAAACTCTTTTTAAATCTAAAGTTATTTTTAAGCAATTTTTCAAGCAATTTTTTAAACTTATTTGTAATTCTTAAAAGCGTAGTATTTGGTGAGAAAACATTTCAAACTCTAAAAATTGGGAAATAATTTATATATACTGTAGTAAAAAATACAGATCTTCAGTGCCTAATAAACTAATTCATTGCTATAAATCACGCACAGATCAATACCTAGAATATTTCTTTCACCTCTCCAGAGCTCTCTCTGTTCACAATAGGTTATTACCATTGTGATTTTTTCATCATTAGATTAGTTTTGTTAGCCCTTAAACTTCATAAAATGCAATAATAAAGTTTGTACTCTTTTGTACCTGGCTTTTGACTCACTATAATCTTTTTGCAATTCATTGTCAGTTTGTTTCTACTATTTTAAGACTATTTCATGAAGCTATTGATAGTCTATTCATTTACCTCTTTTTCATAGTGTATATTAATTGTACAGAATGAGAGGTTTCCCTGTGACATTTCCATACATACAATGTACTTTAATAATGGTCACACTATTATTCTTTATTATTCCTCTTCTCCCCCAGTTTTGCTTTTGTTTTTGTTTTTTTTGGGGGGGTGCATGGGGCTTGAACTCTGGTCTGGGTTCTGTCTCTGAGCTCTTCAGCTCAAGGCTAGCACTCTGCCACTTAAGCCACAGTGCCACTTCCAGTTTTCTGGTGGTTAATTGGAGATAAGAGTCTCATGGACTTTACTGCCTGGCTCAGATCTCAGCCTCTTTAGTAGCTAGGATTACGGGCATGAGCCACCAGTACCCTCCCCAATTTTTAAAAGTTTTTCTTAAAAATTTTAAGTGATACTTGAATGTGAACTTACACATTCATTATTGGTAGACTGGTCTTCCACCACTTCAGTACTTGCTGATTTTTTAATATGGGTTTATTATTATTTATTAATATTGTTGTTGTTGGTCATAGGGCTTGAACTCAGGGACTGGGCACTGTCCCTGAGTTCTTTTTGCTCAAGGCTAGTGCTCTACCACTTGAAGCCCACAGCTCTATTTCCAGTTTTCTGATGATTAATTGGCGATAAAGAGTCCTATAGACTTTCCTGCCTGGGCTGACTATGAATGACAGGCTTTGAACTGCAATCCTTAGATCTTAGCCTCATGAGTCACTAAGATTGTAGGTATGAGCCACCAGTGCCTGGCTTATTATCTTTTTATTATGATCTTTACATACACATACACACATATACATACTCTCACACATACACACACAGAGTACTTGTCATGCTTTTCTTACCACTTGATGAACACTGAGTTGGTCTGAGTTGTTCCAATTTTTGGTTATTAGGAGCAGAGCTTCTGTGAATATTCATTATATTTTCAATTCATATGTTTTAATTTTATATTCATAATTTGCCTATTCACTTACCTTTTGATAGATATGTTGGTTATTCCAGTTTGAGGCTTTTATGAACAAAGCTATTATGAATATTCATATATTTTCCTTGTAGGTGGATGTAGAAATCCAGAGGTAGAATTGTTGGACTTTAAATCAGGTTTCTTTTCTTTTTTTACTTTATGCAAAACACCACCATTTTTTCCAACATGCTTATGACTTCTTATACCACTTTAATTTGCTCTATATCCTTATCAACACTTTAGGTATTAATCTATATAATTTTAGCCATTTTGGTATATATTAGAATTTCTGATTAGTTTCAGTATTTGTTTTCCTTAATGTCTAATTATGTTGAGCACTTTTTATTTACTAGCTACATATGGTTCTTTTTTTTTTTACTTTTTAAAAATTATCTTTAAGTAGTTCAAAGAAGTTCCCATTCTACAAAACAGTATATGAGTACAAAGTGTCTGACAACATTGTCACCCATCTCTCTTAACCCATCCCTTCTCACTTTTTTTCTTTAATTGAGATTAGGTGATTACATAAATTTCACATATTTCACAGTATTGTGTAATAGTGATACTTAGTTAGAGTCACAAACACATTTTAACGTTCATAAGGCACATTGTCATTATCATGGTCTATACACATTTTAACGTTCATAAGGCACATTGTCATTATCATGGTCTATACAGTGTGTGAATTCTTTGAGCTTTGACAATACAAGTTATTTTTTCCACATCAGGTGATGTTCACATTACTTTCCTTTTGCTTAGTGTAGGCTGTTCCTACTTATTCTGTTCCTCCTCCTGGCTTCCCTATGTTGCATGTATGTATCTACCATATATATGGTCTAGAACATGGAGTCATTTGGCAATGACAAAATGGGTGGCTGTCCTTTGTTTCTTGAGTCCAGTTAACTTTGTCATATTTTCTTGTATTTTGGCTTTAGCATCCACATATCAGGGAGACCATGTGCCATTTGTCTCTTTGTTCTTGGCTTACTTTGCTCAAAATAATCTGCTCTAATTCCATCTATTTCCCTGCAAATGCCATTATTTTGTCCTTTCTAATGCCTGCATAATATTCCATTGTATATAGGTACCACAATTTTTGGATCCACTCATCAGTAGTGGGACATCTGGGTTGTTCCCAAATCTTGGCTATTGTGAACAGTGATGCAATAAACATGGAGGTACCTGTGTCTTTGTATGCTGGTTCTTGTTGCTCAGGGTAGATGCCTAGGAGTGGTATGGCTGGGTCATAGGGGAGGTCTATATTTAGCTTTCTGAGGCATCTCCAGACTGTTTTCCAAAGTGGTTGTATTAGTGTACATTCCCACCAGCAATGCAGTAGGGTTCCTCTTTCTACATATCCCCTCCAGCATATGCTGTTGGCTGACTTTAGGATGTGGGCCATTCTGACTGGGGTAAGGTGGTATCTCAGTGTTGTTTTTATTTACATTTCCTTTACAGCCAGGGATGATGAACATTTCCTCATGTGTTTCTTTGTCATTTTTATCTCTTCTTCTGAGAAGTCTCTCTTTAGTTCCCTTGCCCATTTCATGAAATGATTTGTTAGATTTGTGAGGGGTTAGTTTCTTGAGTTCCCTGTATATAATAGGTATTAGACCCTTGTCTGATATTTTGCTGGTAAATATTTTTTTCCCAATTAGGTGGCTGCCTTTCTAGTTTGGTTGCTATTTCTTTGTCTGTGCAGAAACTTTTTATTGTAAGGTAGTCCCATTTGTCCAGTCTCTCTCCAATTCGTTGTGACCCTGGGACTCTGTTTCGGAAGTTCCTGCCTCTGCCTGTAAGTTCAAACGTCTCTCCTACTCTGTCCTGCTGTAGTTTCAGAGTATCTGGTTTGATGTTAAGGTCTTTAATCATTTTGAGTTGATGTTAGTGCATGGTGATAGGCTAGGGTCCACTTTCATTTTTCTGCATGTGGCCACCCAGTTTACCCAGCACCAATAGTTGAAGAGGTTATGATTCTTCCACTGTATGTCTTTGGCTCTTTTGTCAAATATCAACTGACTGTACATATGTGGCTTTATTTCTGGGTCCTCTAGTCTATTACATTGGTCTTTGGGTCTCTTTTTGTACCAGTACCAAGCTGTCTTTGTTATTATGGCTGTATATAGAGCTTGAAATTCGGTATCGTGATCCCTCCTGTGTTGTTTCTTTTGCCTAGAATTGCTTTGGCTATTCTAGGTCTTTTGTTGTTCCATATGAATTTTTGGACTGTTTTCTCTATTTCAGTAAAGTATGTCATTGGGATTTTAATAGGAATTGCATTGAATGTGTATATCAATTTTGGCAATATAGCTATTTTCACTATGTTAATTCTGCCTATTCAGGAACATGGGAGATATTTCCATCCTCTATGATTCCTTTTTTTTTTTTTTTTAAGGCTTTTATAGTTTTCATGAAATAGATCCTCTACATTTTTGGATAGGTTAATTCCTAGATACTTTTCTTTTTTTGAGGTTATTGTGGATAGGGTTGTTTCCTTGATTTCCCCTTTCTGCTTGTACTTTGTTGGTGTACAGAAAGGCGACTGATTTTTGTGGGTTAGTTTTGTATCCTGCTACTTTGCTGAAGTGGTTTATAAGCTCTTAAGTGTTTGGGGATGGAGCCTTTGGGATCATTAAGGTATAAACTCATGTCATCTGCAAAAAGAGATAGTTTAACTTCTTCCTCCCCTATGCAAATCCCTTTAATGTCTTTTTCCTGCCTTACTGCTCTGGCTAAGGATTCCAGAACTATATTGAATAGGAGTGGAGAGAGTGGGCATCCTTGCCTTGTTCCTGTTTTTAGGGGAATTGATTGTAGTTTTTCCCCATTAAGTATGATATTAGCTGTTGGTCTGTCATTGCATATATAGTTCTTTTTTTTTTTTGGTCCGATCCTGGGGCCTGAACTCTGGGCCTGGACGCTGTCCCTCAGCTCTTCAGCTCAATGCTAGCACTCTACCACTTGAGCCACAGTGCCACTTCCGGCTTTTTTCTTTTTTGCTTATGTGGTACTGAGGAATCGAACCCAGGGCCTCATGCATGCAAGGCAAGCACTCTACCACTGAGCCACATTCCCAGCTCTGCATATAGTTCTTTTTTTTTTTTTTTTTTTTGATTGTGGAGTCTTCTTTTATTTATTTGGGTTAATTCAATAAATATTGAATGAGCAAGTTTTATGTGTCAAGTTCAAGTTAGAGGTTGCTGCTACATTAGTAAAATAGTCAGATGCTATGTCCTCAAGACCCTTGACAGCTCCTAAATGTACACATGGATATGTAACTGCATATAGTTCTTTGATACATACATTTCTGAACTGTTAGCTTGCTTTAGATACTGAAAAAATTATTCATTTTATATTTATCATTCTACTTCTAGTACCAGTAAGTTCTAAGCCTAGTTTCTGGAGAAGAAATAAAAAATCCTTCTTTTAATCTTTGAACTATCATAACTTGCCTGTAGACTTTGATGAATTGCCTGCATCATTGGAAAGTACTCTTGTTATTGAACCACATGCCCAGATTTTGTAATTTTTTTTTCTAGATGGATGCTCTATCACTGAGCCATGCCTTTAGCCCTTTTTTGCATTGGTTATGCATAAAATAAATTCTCACATCTTGCTCAGGCAAGTGCCAGGATTGGGGTGCACATATTCATGCTTCTCATGTAGCTATGTCAACACGTATATGTCTTGTGCCCAGCTACTAGTTGAGAAGAACTCTTACTAAATGTTTTGTCTAGGCTTTCCTCAAACTGCAATTTTCTGTCTCACTATCCCAAGTATCTAGAATTATAGCTAGGAGCCACCAGCACCTGGCTGAGTGGGAAGTTTTTTTAATGAAGAATTTCTGCTATTTCAGTCAATAAGCTCAAGTTTGAAGTGGAAACATACATACTTAGACTGTACATAGTTTCTCTTTCTAACTAATATGTGCATTCCCTTAGTATATTAACAGAATTAATAGGTAAAAGATATACTACCTACCCATTATTATTATGTAAGGATAAAAAATAGACTAAGAGAGTCAGGCACCAATGACTCAGAGCTGTGATCCTAGCTATAGTGGCTCATGCCTACTATATGATTTACTCAGGAGGTTGAGATCTGAGGATCAAGGTTCAAAGCTAACCTGGGCAGACAAATCCCAGAGACTTATCTCTTATAACCAACAAAAAGCTGGAAGTTGAGGCATGGCTGAAATAATAGAGGATCAGTTTTTAGCAAAAGAGTCTGTGAAAGTGTGAGGCCCTGAGTCAAGCCTTAGTACCAGCATACACATACACACAAAAGTAGACTAAAGGCTGGGGCATGGCTCAAGTGTAGAGCACTTGCCTAGAATGAGGGAAACCCTGTGTCTAATCCCTAGAAACGGCGCACATACATACCCACACACAATATTAATAAAACTAAAATAGACTAAAAGTTACAAAGAAATCATCTTCATTGAATAATGACCAGCTAATTCTTACTCTAATGATAAGCCTTACCTACTTACTAAGGAAATGCTGCCACTATTGGTTTTATGACATTTTGAGCGCATCGTCAAATAAACTTTACTTCCCATTGTCTTTCAATATGTTCTGATGTTTTTAGAATTGGGAATCCCTGCCTCTGTGGATCTTGTGAGCAGTGATCCGAGCCATATGGTTGCATCATTCAGCAAAGGATATACAAGCATCTTTAACATGGAAACACAACAACGAATTCTCACTTTAGAATCCAATGTAGATTCAAGTATGTATACCAATAAGTAGCCTGTGTTCTGATCAGTTTATTAACTTAATCAAAATTATTACTGCTAGAATCAACTATGAAAAGTACTGACATTATAAAGTATTAAACCTCAAAACACATTCACTTAGAAGGAGAGTATAATGATTTACAATTGAGTTTTTTGAGAGTTAAAAAAGCATTTTTTAAACATTTATAACTATACTATTATACTCTTTTATGTCTCTATTATTCCTCCTATAATTAAACTTAGTTTGGTACCAAATGACTAATTTTCAATTCTATTGAAAGGAAAATTTTTGTTTAAAAATAAAAAGTATTCTTTTTTCATAATTACATTTTTAATCAATTTTGTATTAATAATACCACCAGTTACAGTTCAGTACTGATTAGGATGTAGGACATATTAAAGCTCTCAGAATCCCAAATCTGAAACTTCTTTTTGGTTACGTAAGTCAGTTATAAGGAAGACATTAGAGAATCTTTTTAGTTTTGGTTTTTAAAATGAGTGTTCTCTATCTTTAGCTATAATCCACACAAGCACAGTTTAGTTGCAATAGATAAAGACAATTGAATGCATATATACTGTTACAGTCATCCCTCACTATATTTCAGTTTGCTTATTGCGGCATCACTGTATCGTGGGGTTTGTTTTTTGTTTGTTTTTAAATACATAAGTAGTGATCCCTCACCTGTCATGGTAATTATGTTCCAGAGACGCCTGCAGTGGGTGAAAATCTGAGAAGTAGCAATAAATGAACTGCGATATACCAAGGGTAACGCTGCTGCTTTGCAGATTTTCACCTATCTCAGGGGTCTCTGGAACATAACTCCCATGATTGGTGAGGGATCACTATTTTAATCTGGGAACTAGCTGTAAAAGTAATTACATGGGTATATGTGAGGATGTACATTTACTTGTCTTTCTTTCTCCTCACTTTCCCTCTTAAAAATTTCATTTTTTTCCGTTTTCTCTACCTAGTCTTTGTTTTCTTCTGATATGCTATAGAATGTACTTAGAGAAGTAAAAATGAACAGAACTTTGAGATGTTCATAATAAAAAGATAAAGACAGGAAAATAAAAATTGAAATTATGGCATTGAAAAATATTTTTTTCAAGTAATTGATTTTTAGACTCAAATTTTAAAAATTGAAATAAATTTAAAATGACATTTAAATATATGATTTGACACAGTAGTAAAATTTGAAAAGCCAGCATTAAAATAAGAAGAGCGGGCTGGGAAGCGGGCTGGCTCAGTGGTAGAGCGCTTGCCTTGCATGCATGAGACCCTGGATTCGATTCCTCAGCACCACATAAGGAAAAAGAAAAAAGCCAGAAGAGGCGCTGTGGCTCAAGTGGTAGAGCGCTAGCCTTGAGCTGAAGAGCTGAGGGACAGCGTCCAGGCCCAGAGTTCAGGCCCCACGACTGGACCCAAAAATAAATATATAAAATAAAATAAGAAGAGCATAAGCAACTTTAGAATTACCTTCAGAGCTTTAGCCAATTTCTGTAATTTCCTGAGTGGCAAGTGTTGACTTTTCATGACTAAGTCGCTCTAGTCTATTGAATAAGATAGATAAACTGAACTAGGTTATCCCATCTATTTTTCTCTATGAGCTGTAATTATAAAGTAATAAAGATATTTTGCCTGTTACTGGAAATGTTTTTAGGCAAGACTACTAGAAATGCTTTTAACAGAGGCAGTATTAGAATAAGTGATAATTATTTTGACTTACAATAACATATTCTGACATTTCTAGGTTATCTGTATTAGTATTTTTTATCACTATATAAAGAAGACTTATTCATTGTATTGTGGAATATCTCTTTGCTGTTTAATATTTGATTATGTTTTTCTACTTTGAAGTTCAGTAGTTTTGTTTTTTTCTTTTTGGTAATTAAAATGGACACTAGTGGCTCATGTCTGTAATCCTAGCTATTCAGGAGGCTGAAACCTGAGGATCAAGGTTTGAAACCAGCTCAGAAAGAAAAGTTCTTGGGAACTGCCCAAAAATTGGAAATGGAGCTGCAGTTCAAGTGGTAGAATGCTGGTCTTGAGCAAAAAAGTTCAGGGATAGTTTGCAGGCTCTGAGTTCATGCCCCAGGACCAGCACACACAAAAAATTTTCCAAACCAAATGTGTTTCAGCGTCAAAGTGCATTCCACATACAGTTTACAGTGAGGAAAGATGTTTGTTGTTAGAATAAATTATATTTCTTCTCATTGATGTCAGTGGTGATTGGACTGCAATAAAGTCACAGGTAATTTAAACAGGTAATTGGGTACTTGTGGGAGAAAAAGTTTCTAAGTCACAAGTTAAATGTGAATACTTGAATTATTTTGGATTCCCTAGTTTTGCATGTGTGTGGGGGTGGGAGTAGGGGTCCTGGGGCTTGAACTCAGGGCCTGGGCACTGTCCCTGTGCTCTTAGCTCAAGGCTACACTTTTTTAGTTCAAGGCTCATGCTGTACCACTTGAGCACAACTCCACTTCCAGTTCTTTGGTAGCTAATTGGAGCTCACTAATTTGGTAGCTCACTGACTTAGGAAATTTAATAATTCAGTAATATTTAAATTGTGCCATTTGTTTCATTCAGATAGATAGATGGATAGATGTTGTTGGTATTAGGACTTGAATTCAGGGCCTGGCACTCCTTTTGGCTTTCTTGCCTACATCTGGTGCACAACCACTTGAGCTACCCCTCCAGTCTGATTTTTTACTGGATAAAGATAGAGTCTTGTGGACTTTCTCCTCAAATTGTCTTCAAACGGATTCTCCAGGGCTCACTTTCCTGAGTAGCTAGGATTACAGGCATGAGCCACTAGTGCCAGTGCAATCATATATTTTATGACATCCCTTCCTCTTTCAAAAATCATAGGATTTTTTAACTGTCATATCTCATTAGTGTTAAATTTATGTCGATTTTAAAAAGTATCTTAATGAAATTCATCCACTAAGCCAGTTTCTCCTAATTATCTACTCTTTTTTTGGGGAAAGGCTTTCATAAGAACTAGTAATAGTTTAGGAACTAGTTTTAGCAGTTACCTCATCTCCTCTCCATGGAGTTTTCTCACCTGATGTATGGGAAGTCATAGCTCTTCCTTGGTATTTACTGTCATATGGGTTTAGTGATGGTCTATCTCATTGTATATTTGAATGAAATCTCTGAAAACTCTTAAATAATTCACAAAAAACCAAGGATACTATTTTAAAATTCTAAGCCCAACAGACTGTCATATGATGACTATTTCTATTATGATGAGGAATAATCAAAGGTCTATATATAAAGAGGTAACATTTAAATTTAAGGATTGTTCTGGGAATGTAGCTTAGCAGCAGAATGCTTGCCTAGCATGCACAAAGCTCTGGGTTCAATTCTTCAGCACCACATAAACAGAAAAAGCCGAAAGTGGCATTGTGGCTCAAGTGCTAGCCTTGAGGGAAAAAAAAAAAAGCCTAGGGACAGTGCTCAGGCTCTGAGTTCAAGCCCCAGGACTGTCAAAAAAATAATAATAAACTTAAGGATTATCAACATATAAAATGATGATACAATTTTATTGTTAGCAAAAGTACCACACGTAGAACATTGTAGAATGAGATGTTAGTGTTTATGTTAAATGGTAGGTAGTGCTCATAAGATGATAGGTAGTAAAACAGGAAATTCTAATTTTTAGGTACTTCTAGATATGTTAGCCTGGTATAACACAGGCAGTTTGAATTCCTGCTCTTGAAGTTATAGAAATAAGGAGAATAAACAGCAAAATAAAGCCATACGGTTGGCTTTTCAAACTCTGTATTTCTTTCTTCTTTATGTAAAAATAAACACTTGGATAATTTGTATTACTCTTTAATTTTTCCATTTTAGCATCCAGCTCTTCCTGCCAAATAAACAGAGTCATCAGTCATCCCACTCTTCCTATCAGCATCACTGCTCATGAAGACAGGCACATCAAATTCTTTGATAACAATACAGGTAGGAATTTATTAAGAAATGATATTTGCTAAAGTATTCTCTATGAAACATAAGCTAATTGTGGTGTCAGGAAATAGTTGCTGAAGCACAAATACTTTCCTGGCTCAGTTTCTGTTCATTCCATTCACATCTGGTAAGATTAGTCTTCATTATACAATATAGAAATATTTTTGCTTAATACTTAGTAAACTACATATTTAGGCTGTAGTGCCAAGTTTATCAGTAGGGACATAATGAGAAATTAATTCATTTACTAATGAATGTGATCTTTTGCTATGATCTATTATAGTATATAAGGGAAAAGTAGAAACTTGTTGGAAATAGAGGCATATAAATAGCCTTACTTAATATTCAGTTATTCAGTTATAAAATAGCTATATTCAGCATTGAAGATGGTTTGTTTCACTCATTTCTCATCTGATTAATTTGAATTGGGCCATGGGGCTTTCCCAATTTTTCTTGGACTACATTTCACCAATCTAATGAAAATGTATGACTGTGCTAAGAGGAAAACACTCTTTTAGCAGCCATATTTCCAGGACTCTGCTACTGCCCTTGTTGACATGGAATGGTAACTTGCTAGTAATTTGATGTTTTAAATACTTTTCTATATGTTGTTTCCATGAAAATTATAGCCATATTTTCTTTTTAAAATTTTTTTATTTTTTAATTGTCAAAGTGATATACAGAGGGGTTACATAAGTAACATAAGTAAGGTAATGTGTACATTTCTTGTTGAAGTTGTTACCCCCTCCCTCATTTTTCTCCCTCTTTCCATCTCCCTCAATCCCCTCCTCAGTTGTACAGATTATTTCCAACATATTTTCTTGTGAGTATCACTGTTGCTTTGGTTCACCCTTTGTCTTACCATTTTGTTGTTTCCCTTCCCTTCCCTAATTCAGATAAATGTATATACAATACCCAGGGTACCAAAATCAAATACAGTAACATCAGGGGATAAACCATAGGGGGAAAATACAAAAGAAACAAGAAATCACATACATTGAGAACAGCAACAACAAAGAAAAACCTCTTGTGTCCATGTCTTGGAGTTCATTTTGCTTAGCATCATCTTATATGGTCATATGTACATAGCTTTGAGCTATTCTGCTTATCTTAGAGCTATATTTTCTTTCTGCTCCTTTGTCATTCTTTGTCTTAATCTTCTTTCTGTGAATGTGAACTCTCTGTTCCTATAAACCAACAAATTTTTAGTTAAGGATGCAAAGTAGAAGCTTAATCTCTTAAGTTCTAATTAATGCACAGGTAAACATTACTGAGTTCTACCTTAGATTTAAAAGACAAGTACAATCTGAAATTTGAATTTTCCCTCTCATTATTACTGTGAATGGAGGCAAGAAGGGGAGGTGCATTGTTTTGACTGTTAAAAAAGTTTTTGATACAGGAAGTACAGAGGAGAAATCAGTATAACATGGTTTAGTCAGTATGTGTTCAGGATAAGAGAATCATCAGTAAAGTAACCATCTTCTTTTTCCAAAGGCAAACTGATCCACTCAATGGTAGCCCACCTAGAAGCTGTCACAAGTTTAGCAGTTGATCCTAATGGCCTGTACTTGATGTCTGGCAGTAAGTACATCAATTGTAGGTTATTTGTCCTTTTTATTTTCATGATAATGTAATTGTTCCTTTCAACTTCCTTTCTTTTGGTATAGGTCATGACTGTTCAATACGTTTATGGAATCTTGAAAGTAAGACATGTATCCAAGAATTCACAGCTCACCGGAAAAAATTTGAAGAATCAATTCATGATGTAGCTTTCCACCCTTCGAAATGCTATATAGCCAGTGCTGGAGCCGATGCACTGGCTAAAGTCTTTGTATGACAAAATGCTTCATCTTCACTTCTAGCTCTTTATAAATAATCAACTGCACAAAAGAGATATGGAAGACCAGGGCAAGAATCTACTCATGCTGCCCATTTGTTCTGCTGAAGGAGCACAGAGAACATTTGTTAAAGTATAGTTTTGCAATTCATAATACTGTTTGCTAAAGTTAAGGTTTGTTTAGGTTGCTGCAAGCTCAGCTGAATTTGTAAGCCTGAAAACAGTTTCAGATTCTCCCCCCAAAAAGGCGCTGTATTTCTCAAATTGTCTTAATTCACTAGGCAAGCCTGAGCGAACACAGGTGTAGCCTGTCTTATCCCTCTTTGATAAACAAGACGTGATATAGTAGTTAATTAAAAGCTGAATGGCTGGGAATGAGTAGAGGATGAGTAAAAAGTTATATTTAATTCCCCCTTGTGAAATCCTGTATTAGGTAGTCAAACTGTCACCTTTACTATATCTGCTGTACTAATCCCATTGTGTACAATGACCAGACAGTGTTGAAATGAGTTTTTAATTTAGCTTTCCTTGCAGCTATTTGCATAAAGCATGTACAAGGCATTTTACCTTTTATGAGGAAAAGATGCTAAATGTATTATTCAGCCATGCTAAACAAATACTTAGTTTGCAAGCAGATTTCTGTGTTGTATTATAGTTTTGACAATATACTTGGTACCCTAAAATTCAACTGCCAGGCATCACCATTATGAAGAATAGTTAATGAATCTGCCTTTACTACAGGATTTAACTTACTTGGATTTGAAATTCTGTTCTAAGGGCAAACAAGGAATATCTCTAATAATTCTAGTTTTAAAAAATTCTTATTTACATGACAGTTATAACACCAGAATTATTATTTCATACTGATGAAAATTAAGTGACTGGAGAAAAGGAAATTATTTACTAGTACTCATTTGTCAAAACCCACATACCCATGCTTCAGATGATCTCTGCTCTTTGTTTTACATTTGTGTTATCTTGACAGCTACAAAAAGAATTTGTAATTGTTTTGTGTTTTAATAGTCCAGAGAGTATGGCTCAGGCAATTTTTTTTTTAAAGCAGAACTAACTAAAACAAATGTTTGGTACTTTAGAAGCTCACTATTAGTATTTCTAAGATTAACCTCCTGGAAATCTAGATGGATGAGTTTTATGCCTTATCATTGGCAAAAAGATCTCTCCTTCACCTTTCCCTATTGTTCAGTTGGAATATGTGTTTGAATGGGCAGTGAATCAGTTTTGTTTTTAGAGAAGACCATGTGTTGAAAGGCCAGGTTTTACTTTATTTGGTATCCACATGTAGTCAGCTTCAGGGATTCTCATGATTCTGCTGTCTAGAACTACAATTATCATGACCCCTCTTTATGTTCTTCCCTTCAAATACAAAAGATCAATATAAGCATTAAAATATTAATGTACAACTTTTGCCAAAATGTATATACCATAGGCTTCCAGTCTTTTAAGAGCTTATAACCATAAATATTTTAACTCCTTAAATAAGTCCTACATTTCTATCCCCATATATTCCATTGTCATAGCAATGATACTTCCAATACTAAGTACTTCTTTGAAGTGTAGTGTTCTCCTGATTTTGCAGATATTAATTGATAATACATTTTTTTCAATTTCTGCTGTCTGCCTCTAGAATTCTATAGTACAAGGATATCTTTTTTTTTTTTGCTAAAGCTGTAAGATCTGTGCTAAACTTATGCATATGTAATGGAAACATGCTCTAGTATTTTGACACACTGCTTTTTAAACTGTGCTTCGGTTAACAAGCTGGCGTAAGGAACTTCTTTGTGTAGTCAAGTGAATTCACCTAAGCATAAGTTACCAGGTGACTGTTTATGTTTATATGCAGATATACAATCTCACATTTAATTTGTAAATTCCTTTCAGTTCTTCACAAAGTAAACAAAGTGAATTGCTAACCTAACATTTGTAGAGCACTGGTAAATTCCAGTCAGATACCCTTACATGGTATATTTACGAAGAATAACCACAAAGCTATTATTCTACTGCTTGTTGCTTTAATTTCCTTCCAAGGTCTTCATTGCTTGCGTATGTCATTGAAATTCTGAAAACCCTCATATTTTATTCTTTTCTCATTTCATGCCTCTTGTGCAGACTGTAGTGCAAGTGATGTAATGTTGAAGGTTTCTTAGGAAGCCAATACTATGCCATTGGAGACTATAGAGAAAGATTTTTCTACATTAACACTGTATCATCTCAGCCTAGAAATGAGCCAGAGCTGTCTTCCAACTAGGTGATAGCATATACAGGAGTCTTAACTTTTCCCCTGAACCTCTGGAAATTTATAAAATGAGCAAATTCAAGATGCAGTCATTGCAGTTTTTTCACAATGCTTGACTTATAAATAGTTTGGAGGAAATGTATTGGAATAATATGAAAATCAGCAGGTGGTATGGGTCCCTGCCTTACTTTCAATGCTATGGATATATCTCTTGGAGCTTGCAGTACCCTTTTCAAAACTCAGCTGTCATATGGATCTCATTTGCTACTCACATGTAGACAAATATTTAACATAATTAATATAATGACCTTCAGTATTTTTCTATTGAACAAGTTTAGCAATTTTTGCCATTAAGTAAATAGTATGCAAAGTATTTAGCTTTTATAATCATTTTAGTTATGACTAAAAGGGGGAAATTGAGCTGTAACACTGATAATGAACTTTGTGAGAAATTTTTGTTATCTGACTTTCATTCCTTCAGTATTCTTGCTATAAATTTTTTTTGGAGATGATGAAGATTTATTTGAAAATGTCTAAAATGTATGTATATTTTATAAATATATATTATATATATTAGAGGAATATATATAATATATATAGACTATATATATATATCTAAACCATAGGTGCATTTTACTGTTTTGTATTTTCATTTTGGAGATAGTGTACACAGCAGATAATGATGAGTATGACAAGTGTTGTGCTGTTTGCTTTTGCAGTATAATATATAGTTCTAAATGTTTAAATTACTGTATATACTATATTCATTATAGGCTAGCATGCTTGTTTTAAAGATTGTCATTATAGTTTATTAAAATCTGAATGTAAGAAAACCTGGCTATTCAAATGTGAATTGAAAAATATTCCATTCTCAGTACTGAACTATCCATTGAGCATTCAGGCTTTGTAACAAAATATAAATCATCTGGAAGGCAATAGCTAGAAAATGAGAGGTGCCTTTTAAAAACAAAACAAAACAAATGCAGCCTTACAGTGAGAATGAAAATTGAATTTGTGAAGGTGGTGGGAGGGAAAACAGAGACAGAGCATGTGTGTGTGTCTGTGTGTCCATGTGTGTGTGTGTGTGTGTGTGTGTTAATCTGTGAAGGTCCTGTTTAGTGGCCATCAATGTCTTTTTAATTTGTCTGCTCCACCTCTAGGACTTCAGGGGACATTTCATGCCGTCTTTGCGCTCTTCTGAGCACCATTGTCTAGTTTCCAAGAATTTTGAATGTGAATTCCTAGATATTTCAGTAGAAAATAAACAATTGTCCTTTATAGTGAAGTTCAGGTAAAAGGAAAAATTATTGGTTCACCCAAATTACAGAATCCCCTTAACATAATTTTTAAAGGCTCACTTTTCTTTAGTACTTTTAAAGGCTCACTGTTTTTTTAGTTTTTGTTTTTTTTATTTTTTAGTATTTTGTGTTTCCCTCTAAGAGTATGTCATAACATTGGCAAAAGCAAGGATTCAGCTAGTAAAAATTATTTTCAGATTAAGCACCTGAACTAGTTAAAACTCCACCTAAGAATAGTCTTAATGTATTTAAATGGCATCTCTCATATCTACCTCGTCATTGCTGCCATTTTAACTTAAGCAAATCTTTATGACATCTGAAATGATGGTTGGATGCAATTAAAAAAAAATCTATGTTGGTGCTTTTCTCAGGTTTTGTCCTTTAAGTTGTATTGTCACAAATCAGTCTGAAAGGTTTAGGATTCATTTTAATTTACTTTTGAAAGAGCGGCTTACAGTTAGCCATCCTATCAGTGTTGTTAATGAGTGGAAATAGTTAATGTGTGTGTGTGCGTGTGTGTGTGTGTGTGTGCACGTGTGTGTGTGGGCTCACATACACACGTGTGTGTGTGTGTGTGTGTGTGTGTGTATGTGAGATGCTTTCAACCAAGAGATAAACTTACTGAATTTATCTGTAAAAAATGTTCTGAGTACAACTTTACTCAGTTTACTTTATTCTTTGAAAGCTATTTCCATATTATTAGGTAAATAATCACTCATTTTACTTGCTCAGAAGTTGCTTCCCTTGCTTTGTTACTTGTTTATTTATAAAATTGAACTTTTTCAAGTGTTTTGACACTGGGAATCTGGTTGTACAAAAGTAGTAGTTGACTGAAAGATATATATTTTTGTGAAATGTACTAATTCATAAGGTCCATTTTAGGGAAGGTCCAAAAAACTAACTTATCTGTGTTTAGCTGGTTATGGTAAATGATCTGAATTTTACTTTTGACACCAAAACGTTTTTAATTGGCCATATCTATCTTCCAGTTGGATTTCCATATCAGTGAAAGGGATTCTAGGTGGACAAATTATTTAACAAATCCTGGATCCTCATTTTATTTTTAGATTTGAAAACAGCAGATGTTAGACCAAAAGAGATCCCTTTGTTCCATGCACTTGTTCTGGCAGTATTGGTGCTCAGGGGTCAGAATTTTCTGGATCTTTGCTAGTGAAGCTTTTGCTTTTATTTTCCTGGGACCACAAGTTTATTATCTCTCCAATGAAAATTAGATAGTTCATTTTAATTTAGATTAACTAATGTCTGCCTGAGTTTTTAACAGGCTGTGAACCAGTGAGTGCCTTGTTAATGTAGAATGATTTTTTTCCCCCTGTTGTGCATTAGCTTTCTCTGAAAAAGTCTCAGAGAATGGTATTTTAATTGACTTGTAGAGAGCTGCTGCTATATTTGGTATCAATCAGCATCAGAAAGTCTTTGGTCTACCACACATTATTTCTCCCTGCTTCCTCTTCATTGTTTGGCTGAATTTGGCCCCTTTGGAGAAAACAAATATGACCCGTTTATACTGTTTTCCAGTCCAAATTAAGAGATACTCTGTATCCCTACTCCAACTATATGCTCTATACCTGTTTTGGTGGGGAACTACTTACTTTGTAATACTAAAATGTACTGGTTGTTCTGTGTCTTCTCAAGGTCAGTTTACTAGTGTGGATCTCAGGGTATCATCAGTTCAGATTCCTAAATAACCCTTTCACCTTCCAAGCCCCTAGCTGGTGAGCCCTGTACCAGATTGTTTGATCTTCAGATATTTTAAATTTTTAGTTATAATACCAATTAATGTAAATCCAAATGCTAATTTTTGTGGTGCAAGAAGTTTCTTTTGTAAATTCAGGGTATGGATAAGCTAATTAAGATATCCAATTTTGGTGGCTCTTAAGTGTATTATTTGTTTTTAAATAAAGTCTACAAATAGAGATATTGTGCTATAGGTGTCTCATGAATTACAGTATTTATCAGATTGGGATGTAGCTCCATGACTCTGCAGTGAATCAGCTAAAATAATTTAATATAGTCTGATTTGGGGGTTTTGTTGGAGGGGTAGTAGAGGGGTTTAAGAGAAGTCACAGTATTAGACAAAGTAGATATTAGCCCAAAGTAAATGAAACAATGTTATTTGTTGATTATGAAGAAGCTTTAAAAGTTTACCATTACATAAAATTTGGGCCTTTTGAAAAATGTTAAAATCAAAATAACCTCTCTGGGTGCCTTTAATCCTAGCTACTCAGGAGTCTGAGATCTGAGGGTAGAAGTTTGAGGCCAGCCTGGACAGAAAAATCAGATTCTCACCACCTATTAACCACAAAAAAGACAAAAGTAGTTGAGCACCAGCATTGTGCAGAAAAATCTAAGGAACGGTGCCTAGGTCCTGCATTCAAGCTCCAGTACAGGCGGCGCGTGCGCGCGCGCACACACACACACACACACACACACACCACATACACACACACACACACACACACACACACACACACACACACGACCTTATTGTTGGACCAGTCCAAGTTCCAGGGGCATATGCATGTTTAACAAATAGTTTCATATTTTTAAGTGTTCAACTGAATAATTTGAAAAAATTATACACATAAAGTTAGTATGCGCCCCCCCGCCTTTTGGTTACTTTCACAATCACAAGCTTTCCATGTCCTCTTTCCCTTCAGTGCAAGGACTCTGCCTGCCCCAAACCCATAATGCCTTTGTTGCACATTATGCAACCTATGATGTAGAATGTAAAATGTCTCACTTCTAGCTCCTGAAAGTATTTGTTTTTCCATTGATGTTCTCAGTGCTGGTACAGTATTGAGAACAAGTGTGTACATACTTATGTATGTATTTATCAGTAGTTTTAGAACACATGCTTTTTCATAAGAGCTGAGCATGATTGGCTGAAGTAATTTTTTTTTTTTCTGTCTATTGTGGGGCTTGAACTCTGGGCCTGGGTGCTGTCCCTCAGCTCTTCAGCTCAAGGCTACTACTCTACCACTTGAGCCACAGCTTCACTTCCAGTTTTCTGGTGGTTCATTGGAGATAAGACTTGAAGTAATTTTTTGAATTATGTAGCTCAGAACATCAGGAGACGCAAAGCTATTCATGAATTTATTTGCAGTCAGCCTAGGTTGAAAGTTGTTGTGTGATCTTCCTTAGATTTTTGAAGACCACTGAGGGGTTCTGGCCTTGTACTAGACTCAAGGTATTTCTAGAAATGCCTGGAGGCCTGATGAATAACAACACCGTAAATGTGAGGCATCAGTTATCATGACCAGAACAGTCCAGTTCCATCAAAAAGCATGTACACAGACACACACACAGCTCTGAAACTCTGGAAATTGCACCCCTGATTTTCTGAAACAGATCTTTGTTTTGTTTTTTCCCCAGTGATAGATACTGAACACAGGGTCTAGGGTATACTAGGTAAGCACCCTACCAGTGAGCCACACTCTCACCCCTCCAGAACAGAAATTTTAATTTTCCAAAATCTACCCAACAACAAATGAGTCACTTTATATATCACTTAGATCCTATAGAGCCCTAAGCTCTTTCAAATGGATATGATTTGTGAACTGAATCTACACTATACTGCTGGTGGGAAAGCCCCATTGCATGTAAAATTCCCTTGTCTTTAGTGATTTAGCCATTCCACCTCAACATGGAGACTGATCCAGATGTTAACTCTGTGCTGACTTTTCCTGCATACTTCTCTAGAGAGCTAATTAGTCCAGTGATATAAAGAAGAGCCCACAGAAAGACATCTGCTGAATAGCATTTGGAGTATTACAATTAGAACTAAAAGTTCATGTGCCATAGTTTTTTAATGTCTTCATAATACCCACAAAATGTAACAGATTCCCAGCTATAACCTCAAACCAAAGATTTAAAAATAATGACGGATGGATGGATGGATGAGATCAATAGACAGATTAATAATTAAAGATAATGGTAGAGTAGTTCATGCCTGCAATCCCAGCTACTCAAGAGGCTGAGATTTGAGGATCAGAGTTTGAAGTCAGGATGGGCAGGAAATTGTAAGACTCTTATCTCCAACCATCCTCCCCTGTCCCACCTCCCCCATGCAAAAAATAAAAGATCAGAAATGAAACCCCAGCTTAAGTGGCAGGAGTGCTAGCCTTGAGCAAAAAGAAGCTCAGGGACAATGCCCAGGCCCTGAGTTTAAGCCCCAGAACTAGCACAAAAAGAAAAAAATACAAAAATGGTAGAGAAGCCTATCATCTACAAATAAGAACTCCCAAATTGACAAGTTTCCTTAGCAAAAACAAGTCCACAGAAAGCAAGATCTGATACTAATTTTGAGTTATAGGAATAAGCAATTTGTATGTTTATTTATATTGTACTGAAATGTTAACACATACTTCCAAGTACTACTCCCTGTGCAGGTGGGACCACGGCAGAGACTTCCCACACATGAACAGGATTAACTTAGAGCAAAAGTGCTTTCAGCAGAAGCAGCTTACTTACTTTGGATTCTGGAAATTACGAATGAGATTGTGGGAACGAAGTATCACAGCCAGAAGAAAAAGCAGCTAGGCCTGTAACCTGGGCCGCATTGTCTTCCATTGTAATTTAAGGAGACAGGAAAGACTTCCTGTTTGACCTCCAAAAGGGAACTGTTCAGATTTGACTTGTTTGTCATTGGTCTTTGTTGTCTAAAGATTTTTTTATTAGTGTATAATAATTGTACAGAGGGGTTTCGTTGTGGTATGTCCATACATGTATATAATGTGCTTTCATCAAATTTACCCTAAATTAAAGGACTTTAATAAAACACCAAAACTGAGAGTCCTGTGACTGAAAAAAGTATCAGCCAGTTTTTTTTTTTAATTATAATTAAAACAAGCACAAGTGTGTTAAATCATCAGAAAGAAGACCAAACTTAAGAAATGTGACCAGGCATAATCTTATGAAAAAAAAATAGTAATTTTTGTTGTGCATTCTATTTTGAGGTTTTAACTGTTTAAAGTATTTTATGTACTTAAATATTTATGTATTTTGCAGTATGCTGTTGATAAGCTAACTGCATATTTCAGAAAAAGAGTAACTCTGATCTCATCTGTCTTTCTACAATTGTTCAGAAATAACTCTACTGCTGTGTCCAAATGCTTACACTGTAAAACCTCAGTATTTGTTTACAGAAAAATCAGTGTTTCTGTGCATAGCTTGCAAGTAGAGCCTTTGATAGGTGGTAAAATGGGTGAACAAGAAATTTATGCCATGTATACCACAGTAATGGTCTTAATAACAATGTCCTCTCCCAGCTAAAACTTCAGATTTTGCAAGTGTGGCAGTTCAGCAAAAACAGCATTTCATCTAAATTTATTTAAGTAGAAACCTTGTTTTTCTTTTTTGGGGGGCAGGGGGGGAGGTCCGATCATGGGGCCTGAACTCTGGGCATGGGCACTGTCCCTCAGCTCTTCAGCTCAAGGCTAGGGCTCTACCACTTGAGCCACAGTGCCACTTCCGGCTTTTCTTTTTTGCTTATGTGGTGCTGAGGAATTGAACCCAGGGCCTCAGGCATGCAAGGCAAGTGCTCTACCACTGAGCCACCTTCCCAGCCCCGAAACCTTGTTTTTCAATGAAGTAGAACCTGCTGTTTCTTTGTATATCTCAAGTCAAAAAGGAATCCGGCTTTCTTCCAACTATAAAACATTCAGTTTCAATTTTTTGTAAAAAAAAAATATGTGTACATATTTATAAAAATTTGATATTTTGAGTCATCTATATTGGGATCTGATGAACTCTAATTAGCATATCCATCACTTTAAATTTACCAATTTATAATAAATACATTCAAAAATCTTCTCTTTTAGCTACTCAGAGATACATAATGTATTAGTATTAAGTATATTTACCCTATCATGCCATAGAACACCTGAACTTACTCAGAACTTAATAACACTTATTCAGACCTAATTACAGGCTCATGGACCAATACTTCTCCAACCCCCTCCCATCTGTCATTCTGGTAGTTTTCCATTTCTATTGATCAGCATTCTACATGGATGAGATTATGTAGTTTTTATTTTTCTGTGCCTCTTAACATGCCCTCCAAGTCTATCCATGCTTTGACAAATGATAGAATTTCATGCTCTTTGGTTTTGTTCCTTTTTTTGTTTTGTTTTGTTTTTGGTCATGTTTCAGATATGGTCTTATGATTGTACCTAATGCCAGCCTTGGAATTCCATCCTCTTACTTAGTCTCATGTCAGCTTCCCAACCTATGACCAGAGATATGGTCTATTTTTGCCTGGGCTGGCCTTGAATTACCATTCTCCTGGTCTCCACTTTCTATGTAGCTAGGATTACAAGAATGAGGCAGCCTTTTAAGCAAGACAATGGGTTCTTATTTCTGGAAACTTCTCAGGAATGCCTGCCTGCTGATTACAGACTTTTTGTTTTAGTTTTCAATAGCTTTCAGACTCTCAAAATATTTTTTAAATTTTTATTTGTTTATTTATTTATTTTGTCGGTTGTGGGGCCTGAACTCTGGGCATATGTGCTGTCCCTCAGCTCTTCAGCTCAAGGCTAGCGCTACCACTGGAACCACAGCGCCACTTCCGGCTTTTTCTGCCTATCTGGTGCTGAGGAATCGAACCCAGGGCCTCATGCATACGAGGCAAGCACTCTACCACTGAGCCACCTTTCCAGCCCCTTTCAAAATATTTCTTTCTGAGAGCAGAAGACTTTTGCTTTCGAACTTGAGTGTACATCAGGGCAATCTTATGCCCTCATTGCATGCATTGATAGCTTGTCTCTGCTGCTGCTACTAAGTACATTAAAGTTTCATTTTGTGTGATTTTTAGAAATTACTTTGAAAACACTAAAACTGACAAGGAAAAACATTATCTTTGGAGATCTTTCTGATTTTTTTTTTTTTTGAAGCATGGGGATGGAGTAATGACAAG